GAAGACAAAGAGAATTAACAAACACTCGTCTTCTAAGCTTTTGCAAGGTTTCGATGTTTACAAACGTATGACAATATTCTAGAGTGCTTAGGCGACTCATGGCCAACCCTTTAGAATATTTATACTATTCTCCAGAATCCTAATCTCTAAGATATCTTTGAATCAATAAGCGGGATTTTCCTTGATCTTCAAGCTTATCTCTTTTCTTATTTGTTGAGAAGAATATTCACCAAATCTTCTCAACGACTTTCGTCTTTGATCTCCACGCTAGTCAGCAAAGCTCTTTGGCTCGTCACATCAACTGCCCAGCTACGCCACGTCAGCTCACGTATCCAGGTCAGAAACTCAGCCGTCTTATGTTATCTGATGCAGCTTCTTGATGTCCAACAGCTCCTTGATGTCCATCAGCTCGCTGTTTTCAGAATCTGCATCTTCATGTACCACTGTAAAATTGTCTAACTTTGTAAGTATTAAAATTTATAATATATATATATTAACGAAAAAAAATTTAAATGTCTAATTCTCTTTGGGTAAAATTTTATGATCAAAGAATTAAATAAGACAAACAAAAATAGCCAAGAAAAAAAGGTTAGAACTCAATATGTCAATTTCTAATTAATATATAAGGAAGTATTTACCTAATAGGAAATTTGAAAATATAACGTACAAAATTTTGTAAATTAAGTAAATAACCAAAAAAAAATTATTTATATAACATTTTGTGTAAAATGTATATCAATACATTTTTACCCTTCTTTAAAACTGTCACTACCACCATCACCAATTCCACCACCGTCGGCCACCACCATGTCTGACAACTACCAGTGACGGCCAACACCACCTCCGCCCACAACCACCACTGGCCGGCCACCACCACCTCCAGCCACCAACACTACGGCCATCACCACCTCTGGCCGCCACCACCTCTAGCCACCACCACCTCCGGCCATCACTACCTACGGCCACCACCTCCGCCCATCTCCACACCACCAAAGAGGCCAATTTCGTCATTATAATCATACATATAAAAGAAAAGTTTCACTCTCTCCTTATTGATCCACTTTGCAATCATTTAAAAATTATAAATACAAAATATTTAATTATATACAATAATTTTAAATACTAAATTGTAAATGAAATTATATAAATTATGTATTAAATATTTTTTTTCCACTCAATGTCATTCAACAACACTATTAATTGTAATTGTAACCCCCTAATTTAATTATTTTCTAAATGTAACTTCCATCATCTCTCCTCCTATAAATAATCATTCTCTCATCCTCATCTACCATATCTCAAATCATAAATATTTTTCTTCTTTCTTTCCTTCTTATCTTGTTGCATTGGTTGAAAATCAATTGAGACATCATTATAAGAGTTTGCTTCTAAATTTTATGTGTAGATATGGTATGTATCTTATATTTTTTCTAATTTTATGTTAATTCTAATATGTTACTAGAATATTCTTTAATTTTCATATTTTTAATCCAAAATTATTATGTATGATAAAAATTTTGATGGTTATTAAAAAAAATTCATATTTATCGATGGAGATTCAAAAAGGGCAATTCAATCAATAGCACAACAAGGAGATCAAGTTAAAAAAAATCCATCTCCAAGTTAGACATTTAGTTATTATCTTACATATGCTTTAAACTCAAATAAATTATTGTAATACATTTATCAAATAAATTGTATCTACTTTTTTGTTTTTTTATCTCAATAATTGTTTTGTAATATGTTTAATATACTCATCATCATTATGTTTATTTTTTGTTAATCCAATAGACAATTATATAATCATTCTAATACATATTTTAATCAATTTATGTGTGTTTTAATTTATTTACTTCTTAAATTACTTTTTCATTATCTCAAATAATTTTTGGCAGCATTTTTAATATACTCATCACTACATTTAGTTTTTGTGATCCAATAGATATATAATTATCATTATAATTTTTATTTTATTCAAGATTTCTGGTTTAAAGTTTTTTTTTTCTTCTACAACTACTTCTTTCTTATCTCAAATATTTTTTTTTAATATTTTAAAATACTCATCATTACATTTAGTTTTTTTTCTTATCCAATAGATAATTATACAAAGATCATTATGTTTATTTTATTCAAGCTCCATGGTTTTAAGTTTTTTTTTCTAAAACAAATCAAGTTAATTAAACTAATTTGATAATCAGACCTATCAATGTAAATCGTCGAAAAATGAAATCACTATAATTTAAATTGAGTGAAATATAAAAATATTTTTAAAAATGGGAGTATCCTTGGGTTTAATCCAAAATAATGTAAAATTTTACTATCATTAATATAATATATTTTTTGTTTCTTTTCTCTTTCTCTTTTACGATGCAAAAATATATGAAAGAAAGTTTTTTATAAAAGTGGAAGAATAAATAAATAAATAAATTCAAAAGACATGTTTGTATGTTCATATTTAATAAAATTATATATATCTTAATATTGTATAATTTAGGTATATTAAAGTGTAAGAATTTTTGTTGTATATCTACAAAATATATTATTTTCTCACTTTCAATCTCTTCTTCTTAATATTTTCTAACGATACTATAGTATAATATTTATCTATAATTAATTTACATTTAAATTCATGTGTGGCTCTTACTAAATAAATATAAGACATCACTCAACCCCACTAAAATATAATTACTACTTGATTAAACTCACATTGACCATAATTATAATTTGAATGGATTTCCTACTAATTCTACTAACATTATAACTCTTTAAATGTATTTATTTTTAAAAGTAACTTCCACCATTCATCATTGCATAAATAAATATATTTTTATTTTCTTCCATCAATATTTAAAAGTATTAATATATGCATAATAATTGTACATGTTAAAGAATAAAAATATGCAACAAGCCACGCTTATGCGTGGCTACATACATCTAGTACCATCTATGGTTAGTTACTACATTTTGAAGATTATAGTGTTAGTTTCTTAATTAGTTTATCAAAAAGTGTTATTTTTACAATTCACCCTTATCTTATTAGTTCTTTGTTTTTTATCAATAAAATAAATTATGCTCGTTCACACAAAAAAAAAGAAAAAGAAAAATCGAATATGCTAATTTAAATTGGAGCTATAATTCATCGACAATACTAAAGCCTCTATTTCAATATAATCATCATAACTAATAAAAATATTACCATGTGATACCCATTAATATGACCATCATGATTGTAATTATTATAATGTTAACGTTTGCTCCAAGAACTAAAAATAGAGATATTATTTTTTAGGAGCCAAAAATAGAGATATAATTTTCCTTACTTACTTCCACTTATGTTGTTTAGTGTTCGTTTCTTTTTCTTTTTTTCTCCCTTTTCTTTAGAAAAAAGTGGACATTAATTAAACTCTTTTGTTGACCCAGAAAAATTACTCTTTCAATTTGAAAGTTGATTTTTTGACGATTTTAAATATATAACATAAGTTGTATATAAATTAACTACTAACAAATTTTCAGATTCTTAGCATTTTTTTAAAAAATTATTATATCTTATGTTGCTTCTAACTATAATGAACATAAATTTATAAACGCTCTTAAAAATATTTGGAAAGAAATTAATTTCTTATTTTAATTTTCAAAAATAAATCCTTATTTTTGTAAATTATTATGTAAAATATTTGTTTATCATTCAAGAATAATAGAAAAAAAATTTCATCAAATTTTGTTTACACGTATTTATTCATTTGGAACTTTTCTAATTTCATACCATAAAGCATTTATAAATTTTTGATTTTCGTTGCCATTGGCACCAAGATGAGAAATAAAGATTTTAAGATTTGTTTTCCAAAAATTGGAAATGTTGTTATAGAAACTGCGCAGTAATTTGATTGTATACTAAAATGATTTATGGTTACCATCCAACATTTTTAATGTGTAGTGATACATACATCAAAACAACAAAATGTTTTCGAAGTGGATAAACATAATTTAAAAAACGAATTCCGTTATAATAGACCGCAAGATGAGAAATAATGTTTTAAATATTTTTTTTCTAAAAAAATTGAAAGATTATTATAGAAACTGTGTAGTAATTTCATGTATATTGAAGCATTTTGTTGGTACCATTTAAATATTTGATTTGTTGTGATACATACATTGAAACAAACAAAATCTGTTCAAACATAGTAAAAAGATAGAGACCTCAACAAATTATTTTTTACATTAAAGAGAATGGTAAACAGACTAATACGAAACTTTCAAAAAGTAACTTGATCCTTAAACAAATTTCACACGTTAGACTTGTACTCTTGAAACCCTCAACGGTTGGAGGTCTCAGTCAATCGAAAATGCTAATATTTCTCTAATTTATTTTCATATATGAAAATTTTAACCAAATCTTACTTTTTAGTGATGCATAACACAAAGACAATTAAAATAAAAATAAAAAATAAAAAATATTAGAAGTTTATTTTGTCTTTGAAAAAAATTCTAAATTAGATAAATAGCGAGAAAGTTGGTTGACTATGCAAAAAGTATCTCTCTAGCCAGAGTTTTATATTAACAAATGTGAACATCGAAGGCTATATATACATTATTAAAGTTTTATGGTTACTTGCTTTATTTTTTAATTCTCTTTAAGATATCGCTTTTTGCGTACCGAAAAAAATGACATAGCAATTTCGACTAACTATCATCGATTGATTTCAATTTCTTTTTTATGGAATACAGTTTAGAAAATTCATTTTGACAAATTTCAATTTGAAATATTTTGTTTAGATATTGAAAATATTAAATACCAAAGTGAAAATTTGGGAGCCAAGACTGGTATGGAGATTCATAATTGAAAAGGGATTCCATAAACTTTTTAAAATATTGGTGGAAAATGTTTACTTACCAGCTTCTTTTGCTGACAATGGAATCCACATCATCTTTGACTCTGTGCATGTATAAACGATCCATACAAATACAGCTATAAAATGCATAAATCCTTGAGATCTTCTATCGAAATAATTTTCCTTTTCTTTTTATAGGTAAAATTAGTTTTCATCTGATATAGTCATATTTTTTCTTAAATTTCAAAAATAAACACCCACAATCCACTAGTCAAATTATATTTTCCTTTTTTTCAAAATATATGTATTTCAATAAATATAAGCCGGCGATAATACCTGTTTCCTTCATATAGACAAAACCTGTGACTTTCTTTGGTTGGGGCTGCATGCACATGATTTTTGGAGATTATTTACTATTATTATCGATATATTTTTCTTTGGAAAAAAACATAAATGGTCCAAAGTCTACCAGAAATGTTTGTTGACCACTTTCTTTGTAAAGCTGGATATATATATATATATATGTGTGAATTAATAACATTTAAGAATTATTATTCAATATCATCGTAAAATTTGATCTAGCTACATACTATGAATTTTGGAAAATAATTTCGCAATGAGATCCTATTTACGGGAAGTTCTGCTTCTAGATTTTTTTTTCATTTCTTAAATATATAAGATTTTTTTCTACATACGGTGATCCACCGCCCGACTACCGTATAACGACTGTATTGAACCGTATAACATCGTATAATGGCCGTATTGAGCCTTATAACACCGTATAATGGCCGTATTGAGCCGTATAACACCATATAATGGCCGTATTGAGCCGTATAGCGCCGTATAAGTGGCTATATTGAACCCAACCGTATTTGTTAGACGCATAGCTTAAAAACAGTACAGTAGTCTGCCGTATAGCGTATAGTTACCGTATATACGGCCGTCTAAGGCGTATTTTAGAACACTAGAATATCTTAAGAGGAGAAAAAGTAAACTAAAAGCAATGTGAAACAGTGTAAGTCCACATGACTCTGCTAGATCTTTTGTAACCTCGATTTCAATATAGAAATTAAGAAATGTATCTACTAGTACTCTTCTCAAGTGGACACTATTGTTTTTCCCATAAAAAAACAATTGTTTAAAATAAAATAATAAAACAATTAGACCGGAATTTGTAGCCTATAATTTATATAAATATCATTATCGTATCATAATTCGGATTCAAATAAAAAAAAAGGTACGTGTCTGAGTTACACATATATACATAATGAAATGCATATATACACACACACACATATGAAGAAAACTAAATGTTGAAATAGAGTATTCCTCTCCCGTTCTTCTCGGTGTAGACTTTTAGTGTGAAAAGGGTGTAATATGAAGACATTACTCTCGCAAACTTGTTTCTTCTTTGGGTAAAAGACAAAGAAATGCTGTGTATCCATTGACAACACGATGGAAGAAAACAAAAATACTCTAAGAATGTGAGACCCAGAAAGTACGTAAACTACGGAATTGGTCATTGCACCAAACCCTTGACATATGCTTAAGTACTTAGTAGGAACAGTAAATAAATAGTTCGATCACTGTAACTATTAGAAGCAAAAAAAACTATTAGAAGAAAAAAAAACTTTTGTGGAAGTAGCTAATTTTTATTTTGTAGAATTTTAAGTCTATTATTTTTGTCTCTTACATAAATTTAAAACCAACTATTATCATTTTTAAATGTATTATAAACCGAATTGAATAATCAACAGGCTAAACAAAAGATTCTATCGCCAATTTTTTTTTTTAAGGACATAAAATTCTTAGAGTAAAATTTATGTTTTTAGTGCCATGAACTTTTTTACTAAGAAAATTTTATTTTCATTTTATACAAACATTTTGAAAACTAATTATCGTATTAGGTTATGGATAATAAATATATATGAAGAGATCACCACTGTTTCAGACTTTCGGTCACTAAAAAAAATAACTTTCTTATATTCCGATAACCATTTTAAGTCGGATTGGTTTTGTGGTGTATAATCATATAATCATATAAAACTTAAAAATATTACTATTATAAACTCTATAAATTTCATTTTTATTATCATCAACAATATGTTTTAACGAATTTAATTTGAACCCGAGTAATTATAACATAACAACGGTTTATACATTTGTAAATTCTACGGTTTAGGGTTATGTTATTTGATAAATTTTCAATTTTTGGTGTTAATGATATACTCTATACTCTATAATATCTAATACATGATAATCTATTTAAATGAAACATATATAGTTAATCATAATTTTCCTAATCCTTTCGTAATAAGTGATATCAAGTTTAATATTTTACAATTTCACATAAATTAACAAACATAATGAATATAATATTAATAATAATATAATGTGGGTGGGGTTTCAACTTTGTAGAATTGTATATTGGATACTGAAGATAAGTTGTTCAAAAAAAAAAAAAGGATACTGAAGATAAAAGGTGTTGAAAGCTCTCTATTTGACAGGCATATGCTTCCTTTAACCAATCCATGAAGTTTCACTACTTTATAACTCTCTCCCTCTTCTTCCTTCTTCTTCCATAGAACTCTTCACTAAACCCATTACATAATCTAAAGATCTCTTAATTTTAGTAATATCTCATGGACCAAAGCAATGCTCTTCTTAGCTGGACTTACTTCTCTCATGGAAAGGTATAGACTTTTTCTTCCATCATTTTGGCTTCCTCTGTTTTTTCTGAACTTTTGTGATGGGTTCACTATTCTTCTTAGATCTATGCATAATGTGTGTCCAAAATCATAAATTTCTTGTTTCTTCTTCTTCGTTTGTGTAATAAAACCCTAAGTTTGACTCAATTTCTAATTTTTATGTCAAATTTGCTTAAAGAACTCATACTCTGTTACTGTGTTACTAAAATCCTTTAGTTTTGGATATTTGGATACATTTGCCATTTTCTTAGCTTAATTTTGCTTAATGGGTGTTCTTAATCTCAAAATTTTAGTCTAAATTTCGCATTTTTAAGTTAATTTGCTTGAAAAGACAAGACTTTGTAAACATTTGTGCTCAAATTTAGGGCTTCTCTGTTTCTTTGTATGAATCTGCATTCTGTATGTAAATTAACCTGGAAAAGACAAGATTTTTTTGGGGAAATTTGTTGTGTTTTGTGACCAAAACCCTAATTTTGATATGAATCTTTAAACAATGCTCAAATTTAGGGGTTTCTCTGTTCTTGTGTATGATTTTTTTTTTTTTTTTGTGTTTTTTTTTCTTCTGTTGAATTGTTCAGACAATGGAAGAGCTAAGACAGACTCTTGTGTACACATCAATGGAGCTAGAACAAACAAAGCTGGTGGCTCAAGAGGAACTAAGGAAGAGAGATGAACAATTGATCAATCTAGAAGATGTTTTAACCAAAACCCTCAAAGAAAGAGACGAAGCTCTAGAGAAATGTCACCAACTCCTCTTCAACAATCTCTTACTTCAACAGAAACAGCAACAAAATCAGAAACAAGAACATGTCACTCCTCCTTTATCAGGAGCTTCAAGCATTATTGAAGACGAGCAAGTTCAGCCACAGCAGCCGCAGCTTAACTCAAACAAGAGCTTTTCGTCTTCAGACACCGAAGAAAGCATCATGTCACCATCAGTGATTGATCCGGTGACGATGAACCAACAGATTGAGGTCTCAGGAGATGAGTTGATGGCTACATTGTTGCCTGAAAAGCCACTGCCTGAAAAGGGAAAACTCTTACAAGCTGTTATCAAGGCAGGTCCTTTGCTTCAAACACTCCTCTTAGCCGGTCCTCTGCCTCAATGGCGCCACCCGCCGCCACCACTTGAGACCTCTGAGATCCCTCCAGTCACCATCCCACCACCTCAGTTTCAGAACAATGGTTGTGGGAACTCCAACAAGAAAAGGGCATTCTCAATCTCAAATGAAACTTATTCAGAGACTAAGTATCAGAAACTTCTTCTCCATTAACCAGACATTGGGCCGGCCCGAGCTGCTACTGATCTTTGATCCTTACTCAACAAAATACTAATATATAGTCTTTCTAATATACCATATACAAGATCACTTTTCAGTATTAATCTCACTTAGGGTACTAGTGAGAGTGATCATTTTAGTCAGTTTTCTGTAGATAGAGCTTGATTTAAAGTTGTGGAGAGTGAATCTGATCCATTTAGGGTTTAGATTTAGAGAGTGATGGGAATGAAACTCCCCCTGGTTTAACTCATCCTCAAACATGAGTTTTTTTTACCAAGTGAGAGAGTTTTACTATTTACTTTTCTTTTGTTTTTGCTTATTGGTTTCTTGTTTTTGTTTCCTAAACCCAATGTCACATTCATGTTTTGGCTCCATGAATGTAAAAACTATTGGGGTGTTTCGTTTTTCATTTTTTTTTGTAATCCATTTTCAATGGTGTAATATACTAAATCTAAAGGGAATGTGATGTTTTTTTAAGGAAATGTGATGTATAAATACTCTGTTTAATGCTTAATTTAATACTTAAGAGGTCTATGATTTGGGGGCGTTTAATTGATTTTGGAAACTTGAAGGTATAAAAGTTTTTTTAAGGTATATTAATGCAATATTGAATATTATTTTTCAATGGGAGATGGGTGGGAAGTGGGAACCGGAAAGTCGACGGGTAAGCCAACAACCGGAAAGGATTTGATGTTTTTATTCTGGTCTTTGGAGTCCGGGTGGGTCCTGAAGATCTTAAACCGGATCTTTTGTCTATTTGCTAAACGCTAATAACTATTATTATTGCATGGGCCTCCTAATTTTTTATTTAATCAGGTTTCTCCAATTTGGTCATTTAAGATTCTTATGTTCATAATTTTGTCTAAAAATTATGATATCAAGAGAGTCTAATCTTGTTAATGAGATTTATGATCTATTAAATTCCGTATTCAAATACGGATATAAATCAATTATTGAAATTTGGATTCGTTGAGTACACATAGTAATTTTGCGTTGGTAAACTAACACATAGTATTTTTGAAAAATCCATATGATGTGTTGTGTTTTTGATAAATTTTTCGATGTTCATTTTTTCTTGGGTCAAATTTTTTGATGTTCTAGTTAGTAGTAGATAGACAACAAAATGGAAGAACACATAGTGAAATAGCCTTAATAGTAATAAGAAATTATTTGGTGAAAAAAAAAGCAACAAGAAATTATTTACTAAATTGATGTGGAGGGGAATTTTGTTTAAGTTTCTCTTCTCACTTTTGTTTTCCTTACATATTTTCATTACATTGGTTTGAGCACTTTATAGATATATGAAAATATTAACTGACTCAAACTGAGTAGGATAATTAGTTAATTACATATAATTAAGAGAGTATACATGAATATAATTTGTGAAAAATTGAAGAGTAACAAAAGTGCTCAAACAAATTTACATATAAGTATTACGATGGTCATTTCACTTGTGCTATAATTGTAGTATCATATACTTAAACTCAAAAACTTACTATTCCGTATGCAATTTAAAAATATATTTTCATGTACTAATGGTTATAATTTATTATACTTCAGGGAAAAGTTAAGAGTGATTATCCTACTCAGTTCATTGGTCTTTTCCTTAAAGCAAAAGTCCAATACTTGGTGTTGCTTACAAATTATTTCAAGACTATTAAATTACTTTTTTATTCTTTTTTCAGACAAGAAAAATTTCGATCGTACGAGAAAATCTTGTTTTTTTCTTTTCTTTTCTTTTGAAGCCCTACAAAGTCATGATCATGCTTATTCCTTCTTTTTTTTGGCAATTGTAATGGAAAAATAACATTAACAAAACTTATTAAAGGAAAAATAATACACATAATCATATACATATATAAATATAACCTTAAAAAATTAAATTAAATTTATAGAAATCAAGAACCTATATTTGGGTTTGGTTCGTTGTTGGTTTCGTTGAACCAAAGTTAGTAAACTAAGTATTTTTATATTCGTTGCCTTAATTAGCTTGATATGCATATTGTTCTCATCTTCTTGCATGCTCATTGCTTAAATCTCTCACAAGATTGTAAGTCACAGAGTGTTTGTACTTAGTGACAAAGATTAAAGAGAGTAATTAAGTAAATACAATCAATAATGCACTTGGATAATCAATACAGTTGATGAAGAATGAATCCTATAAAAATAAACATTAGAATATAGCACATACAATGGCTTGACAACACTTTCAACGAATACGATTTACATTAGAAAATGGTTGGGGAACTGCTTTTGGGGCAGCTTTTTTAGCATCCTCTGGTACTCCAAAAACATTCCAAAGCCTCAGAGTCTCGTCTCCTGCTGCTGAAGCTACAGTACAACCATCCGGACTCTGTGCCATATACAGAACGCGTGATGTATGACCATTGAGCTCAGCCATTTTCACCATGGATGGGTACTTCCAAAGTGTAAGCTGGTTCTGAGTAAACCCATGTGAGCTAAGCAACTCTCTTTCCTTCTTGCTCCATATCAAAGAACAAACTTGTGAGCCAGTGTCAACTGAATTCAAGCAAGCTCCTGTTCGAGTATTCCAGAACTTTATCGTCCTATCTTCTCCACCACCACCAGTTGCAAGTAAACCTGATTGAAAAGGGCACCAAGCCAGAGCTTTAACCGCAGATGTGTGTTCCTCAAACCTATGCAAAGACCGTGTAGTAGCACAGTCCCATACGTGAACCAAATTGTCGTTTCCACCACTTGCTAAATGCTGTCCAGATTCTGACCACTTCAACCCACAAACCTCTAGAGTATGACCCCTGTAAGTTTTCACAACGTGTGATCTGACCCGTACATCGTTGTTAATAACCTTCCCATCCATACCTCCCGTTGTTAAGATATGACTATTCCACGCCAATGATCCTACTCTTGACTGGTGACCACCCTTCAACGTTCTCACTTTACGACTAGCTACAGAATCCCACAACTGAACTTGAGAGTTATCAAGCCCAACCGCGAGATTAAGACCATCTTGCGCCCAGTTAATACTTGTAACAGGTCCCATATCTTCATCAACAGTCACAAGCTCAGAAACAGAACCACTAGAAGCATCCCATAGATACACAGTACGACCCAAAGCTATAGCTAAAACATTAGCACTGCCCCAATCAAGCAAGTTAAGGTAAAAGTCATCCACAATGTCAGGTGCATCCAACGCTCTCTCGCAATTCTGAGGGATGTATCTTCGCGGCTTTACGGATTTAGGTTGTTGGTAAAGAGAATAAACAGAGTGTTCTCTGGGAAGTAACTGGACCGGAGCTTGAGGTTTGTTCCTAAAGGCGAGAATCCGAGTCCGATTCAGATTCATTGTCTCAGCTAATTGCTTCCTGTAAGCTTCTCTTGATGGTGATGATCTTACCTTTGTTGCCTCGTCTTTCTCGTTTCTTCCTTCCGTAAGCTGGAAGTGAGCATAGTCGAAATCCATAGCTGATCTATTTGGGATAAATCTCTCAGGCTGTTGGAAATACATAAGCAAACCAATCAGTACAACAAATTCATTCAAAATCACCAAAAGAAACGAATTTTATGACAAAACCAAAAAAAACGATTTTTATGACAAAACCAGAAGAATCAACAATTGTATGAAACACTAAACAGATGAAAATCGAAACCCTAATTGTTAAAAACAGAATGGAATCAAATAATGGTATCGATTTCAGAAGAATTGAACAAAACCCAAAAATCGAAACCCTAATTCATAACGAGTAAACGCAAAAAGAACTTACGTTTTCTTTGGAAGAAGTATTCTTGGGGAGGAAGTTTCGTTGAAGTGGGCATCGAGCTTGAGGGTTCAAGCGAGAAGAAGTGTTGATACCTGAATCCATTATACAAAAACAAAGAGAAAATAGAAAAACAAAAAGACGATAGAGATTGATATATATATATATATACGAAACAGATTAGAAGATCCTGCAGAGAATGAATTAGTAGACACAGAGTAGTTAAACAAATTCGTAGATTCGAGCGAGAGATAGAGAGTGAGAGAGACGCAAAGAGTTGTTGTTTCGTGGCTGATGGATGCGAGAGGAGGACACAACACGAGATTGAAATTGATGTGAAAGAGGCATTAACTTTAGGTTTATTTATAGAGTTGTTTAATGGGCCGATACTGTAAATTGAAGCCCACGGTCCGTTCCATTTTTCTTTTACCGCCGACTTTGGTTACTGGGATTTTATTTTATGTCTGCCGGTTTAGTTTTTGGAGATTTCCAATTTCACCGGTTCAGTTTCCGGAGAATTTCAATTTCGCTGGTTTGTAAAATGCTATTTCTGATATTCAATAAAACTTCTTTAGATGTATTACAAATAAAATAAAAACTTTCGAATATCACTAAATTCATATTAAACTTCAACAAAAGTTTTAATAAAATTTTTTTTGACTATAAGTTCGTCAATGAAATTAACAACATTAAGTCAATTTGTTTAAACAGAAAAATAAATTTTGTTAAACGAAAATTTAGAGGATTTTTTATTTTTTCTCATTAACAATAATTGAGGATCTTTTTTGATAACTGAGGATCTTAAAATAGATATATTGATACTTGTAAGTTTTCAATACAACTCTTTGATGTGATACTAATTTCTGACAGAAACAGCTATCGTGATACATGTTTTCAATAGTATTTATCCAGCGAAAAATAAAAAATCATAAATAAACTTATATAGATTGAAGTAGTTGGAAAATATTTGTAGAATGTGATTGTAAATTTGGATTTAAAGCTATCTAAACCTAAAATTGGGTCCTGAACAGACAATTTGTGCTAATTTTGGAGTAGTGTATCAAACCTAAAGCTTGCAATTTTAGTTAGGAAAGCAAATTCTCCATGTTCTAGATTTACGTTTTTCAACAAACAAAATGAAAGAACTAACAGTTTTTTTTTCTCCTCTATGTGGATTTTTTTAAAATTGGAAAGTTCCATTAGTTCCAGAGAGATTATGACAGATACTTATTAAAGACCTGACCAAAACAAAACAACAAAACTAACACGACTCCTTGTCAAAACCCAAATTCAAAGACTTGACCTTTTTTCTTCTTTTTATCAAGAGACTTAAACTTTATCACACAAAAAAAGGCATTTTCATCCCCAAGTTTTGCTAATTTCTTGGCTTATATTCATGAACACGACTACTTACAGTGGGGATTGCCGAATATCATTCTTCAACATATCTTCTCTGGGATTTTGGGAGAACCTAAAATCACCTGATGTGGTTTTTGGATACTCACTGCCTCTCCTGGAGATTCAAATAATACTTATATTCTTCTGTATTGTCATGTCTCACATGTTGCTCAGATGCATCGGCATTTCCCAGATCGTTTCATATATGATTGTAAGCAGCTTCCATATTTAACTTGACAAACACATAAGAGATTTGTAACTATTAGAAATACAAAAGTAGATGTAACTTGACATGCACGTAAATTGTTTAAGGCATATAGAAGATAATGCGTGCTATAGAAGATAGTTTTCTAAAAGAAAAATAATATATATAAATTTATGTGCAGGCTGGAATAATTTTAGGGCCTCAACTTTTCGATTTACTGGAGAAATCTTCAGAGAAACTATCTGCGGATCCTGCGTTGGATGGAACCGCGGCGTTAAGATGCATCTCGGTGTTTGGAAGACTAATGTTTACGTTTCTAATGACTGTTAGAACCAGCAGGCGAGTGGCGTTTCATAGCGGAAATTTGCCCGTTGTGATTGGGATCGTGTCCTTCTTTGCTCCTCTGTTTGGTCTCGGTTTCGTGAACCTTTTCTCTGACAACATCGACCCTCACTACATGCCTCTAGATAAAGCCCTGAGCGAGCGCTTTGCGATTGTCATAACTCAGTCTACGATACTTTTGCCTTCCACTACATATATATTGCTAGAGCTCAAGATCATCAACTCCGAGCTTGGTCGCCTTGCATTGTCTGCATGTGTTATCAACGACATCTTGGGGATTTTTGCCATGATGGTCGCCACTATACAAGCAACCTACATTCATGTTTCACATGCAACAGCCTATCGTGACATTGTTGCAATGATCATCTTCTTTCTAATCGTTTTTCTTGTTTTGAAGCCGATGGTGCAATGGGTCATAGACCGCACACCCGAAGACAAGCCAGTGAAGGATATATACATTCATGCCGTGATTCTGACTGTATTTGCTTCAGCGGCTTATTTTGTGTTTTTCAACATGAAATACATCTTAGGACCATTAATAATCGGCATCATCATACCGGAGGGTCCACCGTTAGGATCGGCTCTCGAGGCTAAGTTTGAGAGGCTCACGATGAACGTGTTCTTACCAATCTCAATAACATTCAGCGCGATGAGATGTGATGTAGTAAGGATCTTTAGCCAGTTCACTGACATCTTCTTCAACATCTTCCTAACATTTCTTATACTTGTCATAAAACTGGTCGCATGCCTTACACCTTGCTTGTACTACAAGTTACCTCTCAGTGAATCCATGGCTGTTTCCCTCATCTTGAGCTACAAAAGTTTTGTTGAATTCGTTCTCTATGAAGCTGTATTAGAGGAAAAGGTAACCGCCTAACCCGCAAACGAGTCTATTATTGTTAGTATTGATTTTGTCGTAAATCTAAACATATTTTTATGGTTTGTTTTTGCAGTTGATATCGCAGGCCACTTACGCGTTCTTAATCATATATTCACTATTAAATGCAGGGATTGTTCCTATGGTCTTAAGGAGCATGTACGATCCAAAACGAAAGTATGTTAATTACCAGAAAAGGGACATATTGCATCTAGAACCAAACTCAGATCTTCGAATTCTAACTTGTTTGTACAAACAAGAAAACGTCTCTGAGACCATTGCACTCCTTCAATTGTTGTCCTCACCGAACCTTGACTTCCCTATCACGGTCATAGTTCTCCACCTTGTGAAGCTAGTTGGTCAGATCAACCCTATCATAGTCTCACATGACAAGAAGTTGAAAAGGCTTCACAAAAACTCGTACATCCATACCGCAAACCTTGCCTTTAAACAGTTCATGCAAGAAAGCTTAGCGTCTGTAACCGTGACAACGTTCACCGCTTTTTCGCATGAGAACTTGATGCACGAAGACATTTGCACACTTGCACTGGACCGGACGACATCGATGATTATCGTCCCATCGGGGAGGAAATGGACCATAGATGGGATCTATGAGTCTGACGACAATGCCATAAGACATATAAACCAGTCATTACTCGATAGTGCGCCTTGTTCTATAGGCATTTTAGTAGATCGTGGACAGTTCTCGCGGAAAACCAATGTAACAAGCAAGAATAGGTACAACATTGATGTCGGTGTACTATTCATTGGAGGCAAAGACGATAGGGAGGCACTATCATTGGTGAAGAGGATGAAACATAACCCGAGGGTTCGTGTAACCGTGATTCGACTCATCTTCAACCATGAAATAGAGTCAGATTGGGACTATATTCTTGATAACGAAGGCTTAAAGGATTTGATGAGTACTAAAGACAACAAAGATATTGTTTATACAGAGAGGATCGTGAACAGTGGTGTTGAGGTAGTCAAAGCTGTCCAATTGCTTGCAAAAGAGTACGATCTTATGGTGGTTGGCAGAGATCATGATATGACATCACAAGACTTATCAGGACTAATGGAATGGGTCGAACTACCAGAGTTAGGTGTCATCGGGGATTTGCTGGCGGCTAGAGATCTAAGCTCTAAGATCTCGGTTTTAGTAGTTCAACAACAACAACAACAAACGTGACATGTTTTGATCGCAGGATTATGCATTCTTTTAGGAGAAACTTTTAGAAATTTTAAACATGTGTATATAGTCATTCATTTTAACAATTATTTTTAATATTTCTCAGCCGAGTTATTTTTAACAATTATTTTTAACATTTCTCAGCCAAGTTATTCATCCCTTCAAGTATTATTAGACCTAGAATAAATAAATCTATATTAGATTTTTTGAAATACATTTTGTATCGGGTGGTTTAAAAATTTATCGGAGATTTTTGGTACCCGACGAGTTACAAAATATATTTCACACATTTTTCTTTGGATCGGGTTATAAGAAACCGAACTCTTACACCCGCTATTCCATAACTAACAATATAGATATTTAGAAGATTTTGTTAAGATTTAAAATTATGATTCTCATCTTCTCGTTGTTTGATTTTTTTTAACTGTTTTGAATCATCATATAATAAATAAGGTTAAGAGAAATCTCAATTTTTTTTTTTGCATATATTGTGATTCGAAATTTTAGAAACGGACATATATTACTCAATTAATAGAAAAATGTGTGTACAACGTCCCACATCGGCTAGAATGTTTCAGAGTTATATTATAAACTAGTATTCTACTCATACTACGTACGGAAAAGATAAATTGAAATACAAACTTTTTGCAATAAAGTCAATTTTGATTGGAAAAAAAAACTTTCGCAATGAGGTTGTTTGATATTTCATTGTAAGGATATCGTGGAAACAATTGGAAGTGTTTTGATTCTCATATAAATTAATTTAATTTTTTTTATATGGTGCTAGAGCCTAGAGGTGATCATGGAGATTAAAAGAAAAAAAAGTCAAAGATTATTTTTAAAGGATTTGGAAAATATATTGGATTCATATAGATGATATATGACTCTATGCCTTATGCCTTCTGCTTCAACTTAAAATGTTATCTATACACAAAATAATCCTTTTGTTTCTTTTTTAATTTCAGAATCTAACAATCATAATTGAACCAAAAAGCAATGCAAGATCTTAATTTGAAATTCAGGTGTGGAAGGAGAGTAAATATAAATTAGCTGATATAAATGGAGAGGCTGAACTATTCGGCTCTTGAAGAGCTTCTTGACTTTCTCTATATACCCTTGGAACTCCTCCTTTCACACTCACACTATGATTAATTTACGTTAGAAGTTTTAAAAAATAAATACGAAATAATTTTGTTAACATTTGAAGAAATAGAGCGAATTGATGAATGAGAAGTAGAAAATTTTGCCTTTTGTAAATGGCCAAGTGAGTATATATATATATATACATACGATGACGGTTTATGTAAAAGAAATAAAATAAAATATGGTAGTTCTTTCTTTTAAGAGGGGGTAGTAGAGCTTGTAATAGAAGAGTGGGGAATGTGGTATGCAGTTAAAATGAACGTGAAATATTAGTTTTAATTTTGATTGAAAATTGCTATTTTTTTATTAAAAATATATATAAAAATGTTCTTTTTTGTTGGGAATAAAATTGGAATCTTAAAAAATTGTGTGATGATATGGCAGATTTTTATTGGCTAGGTGACTTGTGATTTATAAGATAAAAGATAAGATAAAAATGCCAGATCGAATGAGTAAGAAACTTAACTTTACAAGCATCTAAATTTAAAAGTTTGTATACGGTTAAATTTGATTTTTAGTTAAACTGTTTAATATGAATAAAAATTAAATTTTAAAATTTTAAAAGTTTTAAATATTATAATGCATATATTTAAAATCAATAAAAATTTATAATATTATGAACATTTGAACATATATAAAATTAAAATAATACGGGACGGGTTACATTGCATGACATGGTTCATATGGCGAGACATGTTTGAATCAATATTAATACAATTTTAAATATTATTAATTCGCCGCTTTAATACGGGTTAAGTCTTTTTTTTTTATTATCTTTTAACATCACCAATCTTAAACATATCGAATCAGCCTGATTTTGATAAGATTGTATAAAACAAAATTGTCCAGTAGTATACCGTTATTAATAACAATTGTAAACTATAAAAAGTAAATATTTTATAAAAATAAGGGAAACTCACAAAAATGCCCCTTTTTCAATACCCCTTTTCAAAAATGCCCCATTTGGCTGTCCATTTTTAAAAATACCCTTTTTTATGTACAAAATGACTAAATTACCTTTCTTTTAATAAAAGATATCACAAATATATAAGGAAATATAACAAAATTAGGTCCACAAAATACAAAATATTTTTTGGCGGGAAAAGTGATCCCGCAATTTTTCCCGCCAAAACACTTGTAAAACCTTTAAAATACATTGTAAAATTTTCCCGTAAAATTTTTTCCCGCCAAAAAATTTTCCCGCCAAAAATTTTTTTTTGCGGGAAAAGTGATTCCACAAATTTTTTGGCGGGAAAAATTTACAAGGTATTTTAAAGGTTTTTTACAGGGTATTTATAAGGTTTTACAATGTATTTTAAAAGGTTTTACAACGTATTTATAAGATTTTACAAGCTATTTTATAAGGTTTTACAAGTTATAAGGTTTTACAAGTTTTTTATAAGGTTTTACAAGTTATAAATACCTTATAAAACCTTATAACCTTATAAGTACCTTGTAAAATCTTTTAAAATACATTGTAAAACCTTACAAAACACTTGTAAATACTCTGTAAAACCTTTAAAAAATTTTTTTGGCGGGAAAAATTTTTACGGGGAAAATTTTACAAGGTATTTTAAAGGTTTTTACAAGTGTTTTGGCGGGAAAATTGCGGGATCACTTTTCCCGCCAAAAAATATTTTGTATTTTGTGGACCTAATTTTGTTTCAAATAAGGGTAAAATGGTCATTAAAAATTAAAAGAGGGCAAACTTAAAAATGGACTCTCAAAGGGGGCATTTTTGAAAAGGGGTATTGAAAAAGGGGCATTTTTAACAATTTCTCTAAAAATAATACAATTTGCAAGATAATACATAATCAATAAATTTTAAAAATCACTAATTTTAAAAAACAAATCGTCCCCCGGTACATCACAGATTAAAATCTAGTTTATATGTATTATTAGACCGAAATAAATAAATTTATAAGTATTTTCCAAGGTAGGAAAAAAACATCATATAACTTAGATAGATCATAGATCGAAGCAGTTAGAAAAAACTTCTAGCTAGACTATAAACGTAAATTCAGATTTTAAGCTATCTAGACCTAAACTTGGGTCCCCAAACAGACACTTTGTGCTAATTTAGGAGCAGTGTATCAAACCTCAAAGCTTAATTAGCAAAGCAAATTCTCCATGTTTTAGATTATCGTTTTTAACAAACAAAATGAAAGAACTAACTGCTTTTTTCTTTTCCTCTCTGTGGTATTTTTTGTTGTTTTCTAATTTGAAAAGTTCCATTCGTTCCAAAGAGATTATGACAGATACTTACCAAAGACCAGAAAAAATAAAACTAAACAACAAAACTACACGACTTTTTTCAAAACCCAAATTCAAAGACTCAAACTTTTTTTCTTCATTTTTCAAGAGACTTAAACTTTATCACACCAAAAACGCATTTTCATCCCCAAGTTTTGCTACTTTCTTGGCCTATATTCATGAACAGGACTACCTACATTGGGGATTGCCGAATATCATTCTTCAACATATCTTCTCAAGGATTTTGGGAGAACCTAAAATCGCCCGATGTAGTTTTTGGGTACTCGCTGCCTCTCCTGGAGATTCAAATAATAGTTATATTCTTCTGCATTGTCATGTCTCACATGTTCCTCAGATGCATTGGCATTTCCCAGATTGCTTCATATATGATTGTAAGCAGCTTTCCATTAGTAACTTGACAAACACATAAGAGATTTGTAATTATTAGGAATACAAAAGTAGATGTAACTTGACATGCACGTAAAATGTTTAACATAGCCGCCAATGTGTGCTATAGAAGATAGTTTTTTTCCAAGAATGATTATATTTATAAAAATTTGTGTGCAGGCTGGAATAATTCTAGGGCCTCAGCTTTTCGATATACTAGAGAAATCTTCAGGGAAACTATCGGTGGATCCTGCGCTGGATGGAACTGCGGCGTTAAGATGCATCTCGGTGTTTGGAACACTAATGTTTACGTTTCTAATGACAGTTAGAACCAGCAGGCGAGTGGCGTTCCATAGCGGAAAACTACCCGTTGTAATCGGGATTGTGTCCTTCTTTGCTCCTCTGTTCGGTCTCGGTTTCCAGAACCTTATCTCTGACAACATCGACCCTCATTACATGCCTCTAAATAAAGCACTGGGCGAGCGCACTGCGATTGTCGTAACTCAATCTTCAATACTTTTGCCTTCCACTACATATATCTTGCTAGAGCTCAAGATCATCAACTCTGAGCTTGGTCGCCTTGCATTGGCTTCATGTGTTATCAACGACATCTTGGGGATTTTTTCCATGATAGTCGCCTCTATACAAGCAACCTACATTCATGTTTCACATGCAACAGCCTATCGTGACATTGTCGCGGTGATCATCTTCTTTCTCGTTGTCTTTCTTGTTTTTAAGCCGATGGTGCAATGGGTCATAAACCGCACACCGGAAGACAAGCCGGTGGAGGATATATACATTCATGCCGTGATTCTGACCGCATTGGCTTCCGCTGTTTATTTTGTGTCTTTCAACATGAAATACATCTTAGGACCACTGATGATTGGCATCATCATACCTGAGGGTCCACCGTTAGGATCGGCTTTGGAGGCTAAGTTTGAGAGGCTCACGATGAATGTGTTCTTACCAATCTCAGTCACATTCAGCGCGATGAGATGTGATGGAGTAAGGATCGTTAATCAGTTCACTGACATCTTCTTCAACATCTTCCTAACATTTCTTATACTTGTCATAAAACTGGTCGCATGCCTTGCACCTTGCTTGTACTACAAGTTGCCTCTTAACGAATCCATGGCTGTTTCCTTCATCTTGAGCTACAAAAGTTTTGCTGATTTCGTTCTCTATGAAGCTGTATTAGACGACACGGTAACCTCCTAAAAGAGTATTATTGTTATTATTGATTTTGCCACAAAACTAAACATATTTTTATGGTTTATTTTTTGCAGTACATATCACAGGCCACTTACGCCTTCTTAATCCTTTATTCGCTACTAAATGCCGGGATTGTACCTACAGTCTTAAGGAGCATGTACGATCCTAAACGAAAATACCTTAACTACCAGAAAAGGGACATATTGCACCTAGAACCAAACTCAGATCTTCGAATTCTAACTTGTTTGCACAAATCAGAAAACGTCTCTGAGACCATTGCATTTCTCCAATTGTTGTCCTCACCAAACCTTCACTTCCCTATCGCGGTCACAGTTCTTCACCTTGTGAAGCTTGTTGGTCAGATAAACCCCATCATAGTCTCAAACAACAAGATGTTGAAACGGCTTAACAAAAACTCGTACATCCATACCGCAAACCTTGCCTTTAGACAGTTCATGCTAGAAAGCTTAGACTCTGTAACAGTGACAACGTTCACCGCGTTCTCGCATGAGAACTTGATGCATGAAGACATTTGCACACTAGCACTTGACGGGACGACTTCGATGATTGTAGTCCCATCGGGGAGGAAATGGACCACAAATGGGATGTTTGAGTCTGACGACATTGCCATTAGACATCTAAACCAGTCATTACTAGATCGTGCGCCTTGTTCTATAGGCATATTAGTAGACCGTGGACAATTCTCGCAGAAATGTAATGTAACAAGCAAAAGAAGGTACAACATTGATGTTGGTGTCCTATTCATTGGAGGCAAAGATGATAGGGAGGCACTATCACTAGTGAAAAGGATGAAACATAACCCGAGGGTCCGTGTAACCGTGATCCGACTCGTCTTCGACCATGTAATAGAGTCAGATTGGGATTATATTTTGGATAATGAAGGCTTAAAGGATTTGAAGTGTGCAGAAGACAACAAAGATATTGTTTATACAGAGAGGATTGTGACCAGTGGTGTTGAAGTAGTCACCGCTGTCCGATTGCTCGCCGAAGAGTATGATCTTATGGTGGTCGGGAGAGATCATGATATGACATCACAAAACTTGATAGGACTAATGGAGTGGGTCGAACTTCCAGAGTTAGGTGTCATCGGGGATTTGATGGCGGCTAGAGATCTCAACTCTAAGGTATCGGTTTTAGTAGTTCAACAACAACAACAACAAACATGACATGTTTTGATCGTAGGACTATGCATTCTTTTAGGACAAAATTTTAGAAAATTTTAACATGTATAAATAGTCATTCATTTGTTTAAATATAATATATATATATCCATATAAATCTCCTGCATTCTCGACATCTCTAAAATCGAATGTTATACTATGTTTTGGAAACTTGATTAGCAAAATAATCAGTTTACTATTCATAATTTATAAAAGCCCCAATTTTATGCTGTTTGTATAATAGAAACTCTCCTCAAAGGCTCTAATAGAGTAAAAGTAGGATATATGCAATTACCTAATTGCCCATACATTCATTCTCCAATCATCGTCTCTCTCTGCTCCATCTCGTATTTTTTTAATCTTTTATTTACTTTAATTTTTATTACATTTCTCCTCAAATCTAATAATTAAAATATTTGTAAGTGCAAATTTGTTATTTAAAATCTTTTAGGTATACAAAAATCTATGCTTTTATCTCTATAATTTGACATGCATTTTGTTTGATGATATCAAAATACATTCCATACAAATTTTTATTCGTACAGCTCGTTAAGTGTACATATGTATAAAAATACACACATTTGTATTCATACAGCTCATTAAATGTACAGATGTATAGAAATATACACATTTTGATCGTACAACTTATTAAATGTACAAATATAGAAAATATCTCTGTACATTAAATATGAATGTAAAATAGAAAATACATTTGTACACTAAATGAGTTGTACTAAATGAGTTGTACGATTCACATTATATAGTTAATTTATATCTAAAATAATAAATTCAATTTTAATGTCATACTCGTAAATAATATGTTTTGTTAAGGGCCTGAAAGTCAACCAAATAGTAACAATTAGTAAATAGTGGAGCATTTGCCAATTCTAAATAGTAATTGTACTAATTTTCTAGTTAAGTTTGAAAAACTGACTATTTTTTTTTAACTTAACCCTTCTTTCTACTCAATGACCGCACATTTAACAAAAACCATGAATCAATTATGTAATTAAAAGACACATCTCCATACACATATATTATCTAAATGAAAAAGTAATAATTTATATTTCCTTTAATATTAAAAACTCCAAAAGATCCTAAAAAAAAAAAAATCTAAATCACCAAAGGAGAATAAAGTAATTTGACTCTAACTTTAAACTCCAAAACAACTCCATTTCCATGAAATTTTGCTTTTCTATCAAAGAGATTAAAAATTAATTTGACTTTAACATTCTCTCTCTATTTACTATATTTCAAAACTTAACAACTCTAACTCCATTATTTAACTCATATCAACACATTACACATCATCATCATTCTGTCTTATTGATGTATCATGTTTTAATTAGCATTTTTAGCTTTATTTTACTTTTTTTTTCTTATTCACAAGCACAATTCTCGTACTTGCCCTAGATGGTGGAGTATGTGGAGACTCTTGATGTAGAAAATAATTTGGATTCTTAGAGCCAACAATATACACTTGGGAAAGAATGCTCTCTTTTTCTTCAAAGTCCAACATTTGTTGTTGAAGGGAGGAGTTTTAAGAGAACATGTTCCTCGAGATATCGAACAATTGAAACAAACAATCGTTCCTCATTGGTTAACACTTGCAAAGGTTTTCAGACTACTGGAGGCGAAAACAGCCCAAGGAGAATATGAGAGGGAATATAAAACGATACTTTGATTTTGTTAAAGAGTAAGTGTTCGTGATATATAAGATTATCTATATAATTTGTTGATTTGATATTATTTTTTTTTTTACATTTTTGTAGGGCTAGGCATTAATTTAAAAGTTTGACCTCCAAGATGCAGCCACATATAAAAAATTTGGAGCCACAACCTTCAGTAGCCAATCATTTCCATATTTTGTTTGGTAAAAGCTATAATTTTTTGTTTCTGATCAAAAGATTGCTATGTACAATATATAAATTTACCTTGATATGTTTTTTTACTCGGGATGGACGTTAGATTGAAAACCACCATAAATCTTATTTCTTATGTTTTAGTTATGTGCTATACTTTAAGCTACTCCTACCGGTTTTTATTTATACTAGGAGAGCATCCATGCTATGACCGGATAATATATTTGACAATTGACATATTTTAAATTAGTTAATTTAGGTTTAAATTTATGTTTATTTTTGAAATATATACATTACAAAAAAAATCGTATGATATTTTATATAAAATTACTGTTGAATGAAGGAGTTTTATGGGACATATATCTCAAGATATCGGACGACTAATGACAAATAATCTTTACTCAATTGTTGACTCATGCATGCAAAGGTTTTCATACTACCGGAGAAGAAAAACAGCTCATAGGGAATATCAGAGGAAAAATAAACGATACTTGGATTTTGGTATAGAGTAAGTGTTCGTGATATATGAAATTATATATATAATTTGTTAATCTGATATTGTGTTTTTTCTTTCTTTTTGGCAAGGCTACGCTTCAATTTAAAAGTTTGACCTCCAAGGTGCAGCCGCCTATACAAAATTTAGAGCCACAACCTTCAAAACCAATTTCAAGATTCAAGGCACATGGAAGGTAGCCAATCAATTCCATGTTTTGTTTTTGTACAAGTTAGGATTTTTCGTTTTTTTTTTTCTGATCAATAGATTGCTATGTACAATAGATAAATTTAATTTGAAGTTTTTTTTTTCTTACGACTGGCCGCTAAAGTGAAAACCACCAAAAATCTTATTATGTTCTAGTTATTGTGCTCTACTTTAAGCTACTCATACGAGTTTTTATTTATTCTAGGAGATCATCCGGGCTACACTCGAGAAATATATTTGACAATTGATATTTTTGAAATTAATTTTTATAGGTTTAATAAGTTTATTTATGAAGTATATACATTTTAAAAAATCATTTGATATTTTATATAAAATTTTATTGTCGATGGAAGGATTTTTAGTGGACATGTTACTCGAGATATCGAGTGATGACAAATAATATTTCCTCAATTATTGACATATGCAAAGGTTTTCAGACTACTGGAGACGAAAAATAGCTCAAGGAGAATATCAGAGGGAATGTAAACATGCTTGAAGAAAAAAAAAACAATGCTTGAATTTTGATATAGAGTAGGTGTTCATGATATATGAGATTATCTATATAATTTGTTAATCTGATTTTTTTTTTTTCCTTTTCGTAGGACTTGGCGTTAGAGTGAAAACCAACGGAAATCTTATTGTGTTCTAGTTATTGTGCTATACTCTGAGCTACTCCTACGAGTTTTATTTATACTAGGAGATCATCCGGGCTACACCCGAGAAATATATTTGACAATTGACATCTTTTAAATTAGTTAATTTAGGTTTAAATCAAGTTTATTTTTTAAGCATATACATTAAAAAAAAAAATCATATGATATTTTATATAAAATTTATTGTTGAAGGAAAGATTTTTAGTGGGACATGTTACTCGACATATCAGACAAGTGATGACAAATAATCTTTTTCAATTGTTGACACATGCAAAGGTTTTCACACCACCAGAAGCTAAAAACAGCTCATGGAGAATATCGAATATCATAGGGAATATTTCGATTTTGATAGAGCGTAAATGTTCATGCTATATATGAGATTATTTATATAATTTGTTAATTTGATATTGTTTTTTTTTTTCCTTTTTGCAGTGCTAGACATCGATGATTATCGTCCCATTGGGGAGGAATGGACAATAGATGTGATGTTTGAGTCTGAAAACAATGCCGTAAGACATCTAAACCAGTAATTACTCGATCGTGCGCCTTGTTCTATTGGGATTCTAGTAGAAAGTGGACAGTTCTCGCAGAAAGCAATGTGACAAGCAAAAATAGGTACAACATAAATGTCGATCTGCTATTAATTGGAGGCAAAGATATGATAAGGATGCAATATAATTGGTGAAGAGGATGAAACGTAACTCGAGGGTCCGTGTAACCGTCATCCGACTTGTCTACGATCATGAAATAGATTCCGATTGGGACTACAATTTTGATAACGAAGGCTTAAAGGATTTGAAGAGTACCAAAGACACCAAAGATATTGTTTATACAGAGAGGTTTGTGACCAATTGCTCGCCGAAGAGTATGGTCTAATGGTGGTCAGGAGAGATCATGATATGACATCACAAGACTTGTCACGACTAATGGAGTGGATCGAATAATCACCAGATTTAGGTTTCATTGGGGATTTGCTGGCGGGGTATAGATCTCACCTTTAAGGTCTCGGTTTTAGTAGTTCAACAATAACAACACAACAAATGTGACATGTTTTAATCGGATGACTATTTAATTTTTAGGACAAGTTTTTAGAAAAAAATAACATGTATAAATATATAGTTATTGTTGAATCTAGAATTCACACAATAGATTTTTTTTGAGAGGGAAAACAAATCTGATTAACTCTCTTTATTAAAAATTCAATCAAAGACTTGATTACAAAGGGGGTTTTTAATCTCTTATGAACAAATTAGTTTTTTTTTTCTCAAGAACAGAGAATGAATTAAGGTTTTTATATGAAAATTGTGGATCTCCGAATAGGGACAAACCTCTATATTTATACGAAATAAAGACGATCTAAAGATAAGCTAAATTTCCTTGTTTTTAGGGTTTGATCTTCGGATTGCCTTTATCTTCAAATACTTGCCATTGTTGAATAGATAAGTTCATATTCTCTGGATATAGAGAGTTTGAAGATGACCTTTCCTTTTTAGTGAGAGGTCGGCTGGCGACTTTTGTGGGCTTTTGTCCATAGGCCTTCTAATGGGTCTAACCGAAATTCTCCGATTTAACTGAATTGCTCAGTTTAATTCGGAACGTTCTCGGTTTAAACCGGTATTGTAGGGGGGGAGGGGGTGCTCATTCTTGCACCAACTGTTACTTTATCAATATATATATATATATATATAGTCAGTCAATTGTTTAAATACAATATACATTCATATATCTATATTTTGAAATATTGGATGAGGTTAGAAACAAAAATTATAGAAAAGAAAAGAATGACAAAATTTGTTTACTTGCAAATGCGTAGATCAGACACAACTGTTTTCTTATTTACATTTCCGTACTACTACATCAACATATTAATGTAAGGGATAAACTAATCATGAGTTGACTTAACAAAAAAATAAAAAATAAATTCTGAATTAAATACCACTTGAGTCTTTAACCTTTCAAATCTCATGCAATATCGGCCCTCCATAGTTACACGATGACATATTTTTTAAAAATTACAATCTAAATTTTTCTTTAGTTTTCAAAACTTCAAAATTGTTCTTGATCACCAAGTCTTAAATATCCATTTCTATGAGATTTTGTTTTTTGTCAAGGAGATTAAATAAAGTTGCTTCTAACATTTTCACTCTATATTTTACTATATTCCTAAACTTAACAACTCTAACTCCATTACTAAACTCATATTAACACATCATCATATTCTCTCTCTTATTTTCCTTAATGTTATTTTCTTTTTTTCCTTTGGTGTGTTCTTTGATGTTGTTTTAAATATGTTTAACGGAAAGATATCTTTTTATGAAATTAAACAAAACGATGATGAAAGATATATGCAAATGTATCCTAATGATTGTGTTGCCGTTGGACCAAACTCAAATTTGGAAACAAGATAAGTAATTGAGTTTTATTCATTTCTCGAACAGTTTGTTCAAATTTGGACAAAAGATAAGTAATTGAGTTCTAACCTTATGCTTGTTTCTTTTATAAACAGAGACTGAATTGATTTCATTAAGGAAAAGATTACAACATATATATACTCTGCAGTCTAGGTATTAACTTATAAATAATTACAATGTGATCCTTAATCTTTCTATCTCCTTACACACCCCCTCAAGATGGAGGCAGTTCCTTGACTCCAATCTTGTTATTAAGTTCTTGAAACCGTGGTCGAGGTAATGGTTTTGTAAGCGAGTCAGCGAGCTGGTCCTTTGTGGAAACATGTGAGACCCGAAGCGCACCGGACTGAATATAACCGCGAACAAAGTGATAGTCAAGAGCCACATGTTTCATTCTCGAATGAAAAACTGGATTAGCGCATAAGTATGTGGCGCCCATGTTGTCACAGTAAATGACGGGTGCCATCGGTAAATGAACCCCCATCTCCGAGAGCAATGAACAAATCCAGCGGAGTTCAGACGCTGTATTAGCTACCGAACGGTATTCAGCTTCCGTCGAGGAGCGTGAGACACTTCGTTGTTTCTTAGATGACCAAGAAACCGGGCTGCCGCCAAAATATATGATATATGCATTGGTAGATATGTAGTCATTCTGGTCTCCAGCCCAATCTGCATCTGAAAAGGCATGGAGAGTAAGAGGCGTGTCGGAACGCATAAAAATACCATGAGACTTGGTGCCAGCGAGATATCGGAGAATACGCTTTGCCGCTTGCCAATGTTCATCCGTCGGTTTGTGCATAAACTGCGATAATTTGTTCACCGCGAATGCGATATCCGGTCTCGTGAATGCTAAGTATTGAAGACTTCCAATCACTGCTCGGTATTCTTTAGCATCATCGAGAGTTTGACCCGAACAAAGAGTAAGTTTCGGAGAAGGAGACATTGGTGTGGAGACTGGTTTGGCTTCTAACATATTCGTCTTCGTGAGAAGGTCGATAATGTATTTGCGTTGCATCAAATGTAAGCCTTTGGATGTTCTTGTCGCCTCGATACCCAAGAAGTAACTCAACGCCCCTAGATCTTTTAGGGAAAACCGAGCAGCCAAGGATTTGTTAAAGGCAGTGACAAGAGACGTCGTACCCGCAATGATGATATCGTCCACATAAACAAGTACGTAGATCACATCGCAGCCCCGTTGATAGATGAATAATGACGTGTCGGCAAGCGAGTTCTTAAAACCAGCTTGTAAAAGGTAGGTTTTAAGTTCTTGATACCAAGCACGAGGGGCCTGTTTGAGACCGTATAACGCCTTCTTCAAACGACATACAAATTGTGGGCGATCTTTGTCGATAAAACCCGGTGGCTGGGAGACATAAACTTCTTCTTTTAGAGTCCCCTGAAGAAAAGCATTATTTATATCAACCTGATGGATGCTCCAATTCCGCTTAACCGCAACTTCCAGAACAATGCGAACTGTCGTTGATTTGATAACAGGACTAAACGTCTCCGAATAGTCCAACCCGTATTGCTGATTGAAACCTCTCGCTACCAGCCTCGCCTTATACCTTTCAATTGAACCATCAGGGTAAAATTTAATAGTAAAAATCCACTTACACGTGATTATATTTTGAGCCGTCGTAGGTGGTACTAATTCCCATGTATGGTTACGTAGTTGAGCGTCAATTTCCTCTGACATAGCACGTCGCCAATGATCATATTTGAGTGCTTCTGCCACCGTCGATGGAATTCTAAGTGGATCAATTTCCTTTGCTGCCATAAGACTTAATTTGGTTTTGGGTTTAGTGATGTTGTTCTTGGCTCGGGTTCTCATCGGGTGAGTATTTTGTGGTTGTGGATTTGGTGGTTGATTTACGGGCTGTGGATTTTGAGGTGGTGACGGGGATTCTGATGTAGCAGATGATGAGTGTGAGTGGTTTGGGGAAGGTGACGAATTTGTGGTCTCGGGACTATTTGAGGTGGACTGTTGGAGTGGGCTTTGATTTATTGGGCTTGAATTTATGGGGCTTGGATTTATTGGGCTTTGTGAGTGTTGTTGGGTTTCAGATAAGTCGGGGCTGTGGAGAGAATGAGTGTCAGGTTGATGAGAATTCGAACCTAAATTTGTCGACGATGAAGCAGGAAAATGATCCGGTGGTGACGGTGGCAGAGTTGCGGACGGAGAGGATGACAGCGGCGTGGTAGGTGGCGGGGCTGGAGGCTGCGACGGGTGAAGGACCGAGCACGAGGGGCTTGAATGAGCTATATGTGGCGTGAGTTCCGTTGAAGATTCAGCAAGATCCGAAGATGGTGCAAACGGAAAGCTTGTCTCCACAAATTGGACATGTCGCGAAGTGTATATCCGGTCAGTCTTTATGTCAAGACAGAGATACGCACTTTGCGTAAGTGAATAGCCTAGAAACGCACATGGTGTTGAACGATTCTCAAGCTTGTTCGTCGTGTATGGGCGAATCCACGGGAAGCATAAGCAACCAAATACCCGCAGTTTCAAATAGTTAGGAGGCTGTTGAAAAAGCTTCGCATAAGGAGACACACCTTGTAACACATCCGTGGGCATACGATTGATCAAATAAACTGCTGTTGCAAATGCATATGTCCAATATGATCTCGGAACCGAAGCATGACCAAGCAAGGTGAGGCCTGTTTCGACAACATGACGGTGTTTCCTCTCGGAGATACCGTTGTGTTCCGGCGTATGTGGCGGAGACGTAAGGTGACTAATGCCATTAGCGACTAGAAATGGTCGTAGTCCAATGAATTCACCACCGTTATCCGAGTATAATGTACGAATACGGCATTGAAATCGATTCTCCACCAACGCTTTGAACGCCACAAAAACATCTTTGACTTGGGACTTTTGCTTTAGAGGGTATAGCCAGGTGTATCTTGTGAAGTGGTCAACAAGAATAAGGTAGTATTTGAAATTGTCAACAGAAACCATTGGAGATGTCCAAACGTCAGAATAAAGATACTCAAGAGGTTGGTGAGAGACAATGGTGTTTGTGTAAAATGGTAATTTGTGACTTTTATTGATGAAACAGTCCGAACAAGATAACTGTTTTTGTAAAGAATGTGAAAGAGGTAAAGAGAATTGCGAAACAACAGCTTTTAGAATAGGTAAAGATGGATGCCCAAGTCGAAAATGCCAAGAAGAGAGGTCGGTTTTCGGTGTCGGTGAAGCTGAAAACCCGGTTATGGAATGATGATCAACCGGCCACTCATATAGCTCATTTCTAGTTCGCCCTTGGAGTAACTTGGCCCCCGTGCTGAGATCCTTCACCTGAAAATGTGCAGGAAAGAATTCCACAGAAACTTTATTAGTATTGCACATCCGATAAACCGATATCAAATTCTTGCTAACATTAGGTACGTATAAGATATCTTTAAGAGCAAGAGAGCGAGACGGTGTAGGGAGTAAGGCTGAACCAGTGTGAGAAATTGGAAGCCCGGAACCATCAGCAATTGTGACCTCTTCTCCTCCAGTATATGGCTGGTGCATGGAGAGATTAGCCAAATCGGATGTCAGATGGTGTGTCGCAGCAGAATCCATAATCCAGTTTGCTGGATTGTACGGCGGGACCATCGCAACGTTGGCCCTTGGTTGCCATGGCTGTATTGGAGACGGCTGATAGCCAGAGTTTGACGACGGGTAGCCAACGTTGGATGGCTGATAACCTCCACCAGATGAGTGTAGTTGTTTGCAGGTCCGTGCACTGTGACCATGGACACCACACAATTGGCACCGCCCTTGATAGCCTCTCCCGGAGCCACGTGAGTTGTTGTTGCTATTATTTTGTTGTTGCCATGGTTGATTACCTCGGTAGCCGGAGCGATTGTGATTGCGGGAGTTGTTGTTGTTGTGGCCAGAATTTTTGTAGGCAGCGTTGGCGGTGACTGGAGTAGAGGAGGAGGCAGCAGCCATCGTTTGAAGCTTCAACTCATAATTAATAAGCTTCTCATGGATTACGGTCAGCGTTGGTGTAGTGTCACGACCCTCTATTTGATCAATGACCTGCCTGTAGTCATCAGGGAGACCTCCAAGAACATAGTCAATTTGGTCTTCATGTAGGATTTCACTCTCAAGCAAAGCCAACTGATCAAACCGAGTAGTGAGACCCTGAAAATACTCATCAATCGTTTTAGTACCTTTCTTCCATTGTTTCAGCTGCTCACGTAACACTTTGATATGTCCACGGCTGGGCTTCGCGTATGTGTCGAAGAGAGTGGTCCAAATCTGAGCAGAGGTCTTCTCCTTGGACAAGAGAGGCTGAACAGAGGGTGATATGGTCCCAATAAGGCCGGAGTAGATCAATTGATCTTGTCGCATCCAATGCTTGGAAGCTGGATTTGCAGAGACAACGCCATTAACGGTGAGCGTTGGTTCTGGTGCAGGGACAGAGCCGTCGAGATATCCGGCGAGGTCATACCCATTCAACAGGGCATATACTTGACGATACCATATCAAGAAGTTTGTAGCCGTGAGCTTGGTCACATTTGACATGTTGACATTCAAAAGAGAGGAGGCACCGGTGACAACAAGTTCGGTGGTGGTTGACATGGCCGAGTATCAATGATACTTGAGAAAGAAGGGTTAGAGGAAGAAGAGATAAAGAGATCGAAGAAGAGGAGAAGAGGAGAAGGAGGCGGCCAAAAAATTTTAGGTCTTTGGATTCTTACGCTCTGATACCATATAAACAGAGACTGAATTGATTTCATTAAGGAAAAGATTACAACATATATACTCTGCAGTCTAGGTATTAACTTATAAATAATTACAATGTGATCCTTAATCTTTCTATCTCCTTACATCTTTAACGGCTGAATCAAATTATCCATATTCGTAGATTCACGTTTTTCATCAAATAATTGACAGAATCATAGAACTACTTTTTTCTTTGAGAAAATTAGAAATAAAGGATATCTACTTAAAAATTTGTCCATATATTCTTTTTTCTTGTAGATTGGTCAAATAGGTTTTTTGAAAATAAAAAACCCAATTTTACCCTCATTTTCTCTCAAAATTAATAAAAATTTGATTTTAAAAATAAAACTTTGTAATCTAATTACACTTTTGTAAACGTGTCTTGTTTTTTTTTTAGTTATAGGTTTTGTCTCTTGTAAATCTTCTACATCTAAGTCAATTGTAAATCTTTTTAGCTAAAGCCATCCACATATCGTCATTGGAAATATTTCAATTGCATGTAGATTGTTTAAGTCTTCTTTCTCTTTGATTCATGTTAATGTATATGTGTTTGTGTTGAAATTCATTGATTTAAACAGAGTTTATGAAGATTGTTTCAGAAAATTGTTGTTTCGGGCTTCACATGTTGCTCTACATTTTTGGTTCTGTTCTTTGAAATTAGTGTTACTCGTTTAGAGATTTCAATTCTTGTTTGTTGTAAAACTCCAAATTTTAATTGCTAATTAATTTATTAAGTCCTCTAGCTCTTTGAATCATCTTTGGGTATAATCGTGTATATGTCTCCATTTATTGAGATATACATGTGTGTGGATAAATTTGAGGTTCCATTAGTAACAGAAAATATTTGTTGTCAGCAAACTAAACATAATAAAACTCTGTACTTTTTGTGTCTTTTATATATATGGACATATTTATAGGTTTTCCAGCAAATCATACCCATCAAAATCCAAACAGTTTTTGACTAACTAACTCTTAGAAAAAAAAAATCAAAAACTTCTCAAAGACCAAAACAAAGTAAACAACAAAATTGACACGATCACCATTTACATTCATATCCAAAGATTCACATGTTCTTTGAAGAATTTTTTTTTTCTTTTCTTAATTCTCCAGAGTTGATACACCAAGTTTCTACAATTTATGAATACAACGACCTATATTCGCGGTTGCATACCCTTAGTGTTCAACATCTCTTCTTTTGGATTTTGGGAAAACCTAAAATCGCCGGATGTGATTTTCGGGTATTCATTGCCTCTCATGGAATTTCAGATATTACTCATATTTGTATTCATCATCATGATTCACATTTTTCTTAGAAGCTTCGGCATTTCCCCGATTCCCTCTTATATGTTGGTAAGTATCCTTGCACATGTAACTTGACGGTCACGTTAAGAGAAAAATAGATGTAACTTGACAAGCACGAAAACGTTTAACAATCATGCATGCTAATAAATGTATATTATGTTCAGGCTGGTCTGATTCTAGGGCCTCAATTGTTCAATCTTAGGGAGGTATCATCGCGGAAATTATCGTGGGATCCTGCACTGGATGGAAACGGGCCACTAAGAGGCCTCTCGGTGTGTGGAAACATTATGCTTGCATTTTTGATGACAGTCAAAATCAGCCGTCGATTAGCATTCAACAACGGATGGCTACCTATCGTGATCGGGGTTCTGAGTTTCATCGTTCCTTTTTTGGGTGGCTTCTGTGTGCGAAACCTCCACACAGACAATTTAGACCCTCAATACTTGTCGCCGAGTAAAGTCCTTGCCGAGCGAACTGTGGTCATCTCAAGCCAATCCTCGATTCTCTTACCTACGGTTGTTCATTTCCTGTCAGAACTCAAGATCCTGAATTCCGAGCTTGGTCGCCTTGTGTTGTCTGCATCCCTTATCAATGACATCTTCGCTTCTATTGTCAGCATAGTCGCCTATCTCGCGGGAACGTACAAGAACATCTCCCCAATGACAGCCTACCGTGATCTTATAGCGGTTATCATTTTGATTCTCGTTGTCGTTTTCGTTTTAAGGCCGGTTGTAGAATGGATAGTAGAACGCACACCAGAAGGAAAACCTGTTGCAGATGTGTATGTACACGCTGCGGTTTTGAGCGTAATTGCTTCCGCCGCATACACCTCATTTTTCAATATGAAATACCTTTTGGGACCATTCTTACTCGGCCTCATCATACCCGAAGGTCCACCTATAGGATCCGCCTTGGAAGCCAAGTATGAGGCTCTCACAATGAACGTTCTTATACCGATTTCAATCACATTCAGCACGATGAGATGCGACGTGATGAAGATCGTCTACCAATATGATGACATTGGGTACAACATCTTCTTAATGTTATTTACGGGCGTTTTGAAAATGCTGACCGGGCTGGTACCTTGCTTGTACTGCAAGATACCACTCAAGGAGGCGATAGCCGCTTCCCTCCTCTTATGCTCTAAGAGTTTCTCCGAGATATTTCTCTACGAGTCAACATTCGACGATTCGGTAATTTCCCTCCCAATCCAAAATCCATTTCGCCATGACCTTCACATATATATTTATATGGTTTGTTTTTGCAGTATATATCACTGGCAACATACACATTCTTGATCACTTGTGCGTTAATAAACTCTGGAATTATCCCGACGGCTTTGGCCGGACTGTACGATCCGAAGCGGAAGTACGTTGGTTACCAAAAAAAGAACATCATGAATCTAAAACCAAACTCTGATCTCCGGATCTTGACTTGTGTACATAGACCTGAGAACATCTCTGCGGCTATTTCATTTCTCCAATTATTACCCTCCACCATCGTGGTCACAGTCCTCCATCTCGTGAAGCTTGTTGGCAAAATCGTCCCCGTGGTAATCTCACACCAGAGTAAATCAAAACGTGTGGTGACTAACTCCTACATCCATACAGCACACCTTGCATTCAGCCAGTTGGAGTCAGTGACCATGACCATGTTCACTGCTCTCACGCACGAGAACCTAATGCACGATGAAATCTGCAAGCTCGCGTTGGAACAAGTCACATCGATTATTATCGTCCCCTCGGGGAGGAAATGGACCATAGATGGGACGTTTGAGTCAGAGGACGAGGCTATTAGACGTCTCAATGAGTCACTACTCCAGAGTGCATCTTGTTCTATAGGGATTCTCGTAGACCGTGGACAGTTCTCGCTGAGAGGAACAAGAAGATACGAGATCAATGTTGGTGTGATCTTCATTGGAGGCAAAGACGATCGCGAAGCACTCTCGTTGGTGAAGAAGATGAAGCATAACCCTAGAGTAAAAATCACTGTGATTCGACTCAAATCTAGCCGAGAAACAGAATCGACTAATTGGGATTATATTCTTGATCACGAGGTATTAGAGGATCTTAAAGATACAGAGGCAACAAATTGTATTGCATATACAGAGAGGATTGTGACTGGAGGTCCTGAAGTAGCCACTACCGTTCGATCACTCTCTGAGGATTATGATCTTATGGTGGTTGGGAGAGATCATGGAATGGCATCACCAGACTTTGATGGACTCAAGGAGTGGATAGAACTACCCGAGTTAGGTGTCATCGGAGATTTGCTAGCGGCTAGAGATCTCGACTCTAGGGTTAATGTTTTGGTAGTCCAACAACAACAACAAACGTGAAAAATGTTCCGTTTGTTATGTATAATATATTTATTAGAAGATTGTTCATACATTCTCATTCTTTTAAGTTTTTAGGAGTACAAAACTGTGGGCAAAAATAGGAATTAAATAGGAATTTGCGGGAACGTAACAAAAAAAAATCAATAAAAAAGATGAGACAGAACCATCACGACGGGAACAGGATTCCAAAAAATAAAAACATGACGGTCGCAAAAATCAAAACATATTCGTCAATCATTCAACATATATAAATTTTTATAAACTAAGAATCAAATGACAAAAACTTTGGCTTGTGTTACTTGGTAATTAAAAATTAAAAGTCAAAGATAAACTAGTATATATGATTATGATCCATTAAACATAAAAAAACATAGCCATAAAATCAAATCAAAATAAATTAAAAGCTTTCCATCTATATAAGACAAAGCTAAAATTTGAAATGATATGAAATTTAATGATATATAACTAAATAATTTTGAAAGATTAGGAAACTTAAAATTAGATTTTTTTTGTAATATTCGATTTTCTAATTTTCTATTACTACGATATATTAAAATTACCTAACTACATAAACTAACATATGCAAAAAATTTACAAGTTTAGATTTAATTATCTCGATTGGAATTGGGATTTACTAATTTTGAACCCCCAAAAAGCTTATTAGTAACCATTTTTTGCATAAATTCGGAAGGAAACTTCTCAAATTATTCACAGACCGAAAAAGGTTGAAATATATACAACATCAAAAACATTGTAATCGTTACTTGTAGCTCAAGAAAGTCCTTATTTCTAATCAATTCCTAACATGAAGTGGTAACAACAAGGGCTTTACAACTCTGTATATCTACCGACGCAACTTCCCGAAGTCCTAATGGAATCTCATTGCCATTTCCAGCGTTAATCGATCGATGTTTCTGTCCCCAAGAAACACTCGTTCGATTCGTCATCTCCTGATTTCTTAAAACCCTAAATCATCTGTTGTTGTTGTTGTATTACCAACACAGAAGCTTGACAATTAAGATCCTCTGAAGTCAAGAGATCTCCAATGACGCCAAGTTCCTCGAATTCACTCCATTCTTCAAGCCCTTCGGTGAAAACACTCTTCCTTCCTTTCTCCCTTCCGACTATGAACAGATCATACTCATTCGCAATTGATTTTAACAATTGTGATGTTTGATTTGCGTCATTCACTACTTCCTCGGAGAAGAAAATGTCAGCACCAGCAAGAACATTGCTCTTCACGTCTCTGAGTAGTTCTAAATCGAGCATTCGATCCCAATCGGTTGCTTGTTTAGCTTTCTGTTCGGAAGAGATGAGTGAAACCACTGTGATGTTGATTCTTGAGTCACGGGCCATTCTCTTAGCGAGTGATAAAGCTTCTCTATCGTCTTTACCTCCGAGGAAGAGCATACAGACTTGGTAAGATGAGAAGTTTACAGCTGTTTCTTTGATTGTTCTTCGGCCATTATTGCTTCGATAAACGAAGATTCCGACAGAGCAAGGAGAGAGGTCGAGGACACTCTTGTTTAGTTTCCGGATCATCTTGCTGTCTGAAACAATGGCTGATCCATCAGCGGACCAAGTTATGTGGAAAGGAAGGATGATGAGAGACGTTGTGTTGTTGAGAGCCAGCATACATATGTCTCCGTGCATCATCTTTGGCACGGATAAAGCCGTGTAAGTGCTGACGAAAACAGAGCCGAAAAAATCTTTGTGGAACTGTTCGAATGAGACAACGACGTTTTCAGAATTATAAGACGCGTTCTCGCTTTTACGGGTTTGTAATCGGTGAGAGATGAGGACTGGACTGGCTTGTCCTACTAACTCCATCAAGTGAAGGATATAAGTAGCTACCGGGTTTTCTCTTGAGGGACAAGTAGCTTCAAGGAGATTAATCATGGGACGGATATCGTCTGTTCTGTAGATACACGATAGAATCCTGAGCTCCGAGTTTGGTTTCATGTGAAGCATGTTCCGCTTCTCGTATCCTGCGTACATCCTCGAAGGATCGTAAATGCGTTTCAAGATCGGAGGTATGACTGCAGAGTTAAACAAGATGTACAAAGATAAAACCGTAAAGGTCACCGGCTTAATAGTCTGCAATGAAAATGAAAATGAAGGTCTCAGGTCGTATAAATACTAAGCTCAGTTGCAGAGTGTATCAAAATGTGTTAGATACATTTTGAAGGAAATACGACAATAGATGTACTTACCCCTCTTTGATACGCATAACCGTAAGCGCCAAACTCGAAAATGCCTTTGAATGACATAATAAGAGACAGAGCAATGCAGTCATTTGCTGGCATACCGTATAAAAAGGCTGGGAGAGTCGTGAGAGCGAATTTGACAACAAACGATACAGACACAATGATGAAAATACTCTTCAAATCTATCCAAGACTGTAAAATCGAAGTATCAATCTCTTCCGCGGAGGTAGCCACAAAGAAGGGAAGGAATGTGCCGAAAACCACAGACTCCAACTTCTGGACGATTGCAGAGCCCAAAGGTGGACCGTGCGGAACAGCTAAACCTAAGATGAAAGGTCCCATGAAGATAGATTGCTTGCACCAGTCCGCAAGAATGGCAGATCCAAAGACAAGAATGATGATTGCATATACATAGAATTTCTTTACGGGGCGACCAGAAGGCGTTCTCTTGACAATGAAGAACATTAATGGCCTGAATATGTATATGGCGAAACAAACAAAGAACACCACTGTGCCTGCACGCTTCATAGGACGGTTTCCGACAATAACATCGCCGATAAAAATGGATCCAAGCCGAGTTTTTTCATCCTTGAGTTCCTTTATAAAGACTAGAACCGCGGAGAGAATTGAGGTGCTGAAGTCACTGATCACTGCAGAGGACATAGCAAGACGGCCAAGCTCTGAATTCTGGAGCTTAAGCTCAAAAAGAAGGTTTCCAATTACGGGAAACGACGAAAGGCATTGGATCAAATAGATGAAAATGATTTCAAAGAAATTCAAAACTGGTTCTCCCTTTTTCGTCCCTACATCTCTTAGGATCAAGAAGAAGATAAAGGCGCAAACCGTTATAGAGAGTAACACTGAGGAAAGACCGATAGCAACGGCTTTTCTCCCAGTGCTGCGGATCAGACCCAAGTCCATTTTAACTCCCATCAAGAACCAAAACATCATGTAGGAACACGCACCCACCAGACCAAACAGAGTCTCTTTGTAGTCTTCCGTCGAGAAAAATTTCCTCGCGGGTGTATTCTCCTTCAAAAAGGACTTGCTTAGGAGAATCCCAGTCTGCCAAAAACATAAAGAGTTAAAAGAAGAAAACCCGAAAAAACTCACATACAAAGATACAAACTTTGGTCTGACTTTTGAATCAATCAAATATCAAACATATGCAATGCAAACTAAGAAGAAGAAAGATTTGAAGATTCAAGTCCTTACAAGCATATGAGAGGTGAAACGAATCATGCCGAGACGTTTAAGGAAGAAATGGAAGAACTGCCAGAGAATGGTGACGATGAGGAATATAATCTGAACATGAGGAAACATGTAATCATAGAACTTGATGTTCGCTCTATGATCTGGGATCTTCGGGGATGGCCATAGCCCGCTCGAGCTCGGGTTAATGGGCAAGATACTGCAGATCATATTTTGTTCTCTCCATGTGTCTCTCAGGTAAACGTTCCTATCACCTTCAAACTCCATTGGACAAAACTTGTTAACAAGAACAAAGATGATAGAAACAAGACAATTATATGATTATAAAATCGAATTAAAGAGCTATAACTGTTTTAAACAAAAGAAGTTTTGGTAACAGAATTGGAGAGAAGCAGTGAAACAAAAAACATCTGGGTTTTGTCATTAAAGAACAACTCTCTAAAAATAGTCAATCTTGAGGGAACAAGAGGCGGCGACATAGTTATTACAGATTTCTGGTTATATGTTAGTTTTCTTTAACAGCTTGTTAGTGTTAATTTAAGCATTCTCATCACTTCAACAGACAAATGAATACAGTTTAACTTCAAGAAAATATAATAACTTGAAGAAAATATTATAATATTTTAACATTTTCCGATTCATAAAAGCAAAAATACAAATGCATCAAAGATCTACAAGAAAAAACTTCACATACTATCCTTGCATCAAGAGACGACTCTCTTTTCCCTCTCTGTATGTTCCTGCAACCTCAAAACACCAAACACAATGCGACGGTCAATCAGCATCTGCATTTGCGGCTAAACCATAGAATGCAAAATGCCATTTAACGGGCAATAGTCCCGACCAATGTTTAAATGACGATGTTCAGAGTTCCGAATATGGGTTTAACTACCTATTTCCATGCGAATTAAGACAAGACTACAGTCCCTTTTCATTTATGAAAAAATAGCCACATGATATGGAGAATCGATAAATACCTTGGGATGCAGTAGGAGTCTTGAATCATTGAAGGGTTAGTTGGCGAAAACGTTGATCCTAACTCGAGCTGTGACATCGGGATGAAGCTTGAGTTCGGCTATGTATTCTCCTGTTTCACGTATTTCCGGGAGAGAGACAAGGCGTTTGTCTATGTCTCTGTCAAACCCCAGCCAAAAAGAAGCAGAGAAAACCACATTAGGTTCTTCGAACAACAGTGAAAACCAAATGCAGGATGATCCAACTAAACCGCATGAGAGCGTTTGTAGCTTTTTATGTGGGATTGTACAATGTTCTATTATGTTACCTTTGAAGCTGCGCTTTGATGATGTCGACGAGGTCTTGTGCTGTGACACTGCGGGAAAATTTAAAGTTCAGTAAAGGCTAAACATGATTCCCAAGACTGTTTAAATTAAGATCTGCTTAAACAGGACTTACGATCCAAATATCAGTTTGCCTTTACCACCTTTACGTTTAACCTTGAAAGCACCAACGGTCTCAAATACCATCGCCAGTTGTTGTGCTTCTTCTTTCACCTGCAAAAAGGTTCCACGCAAAGAGAAAAACAACAAACAGGTGAAATAAAACACCAAAATTTTACATGATGAGGAAACAAAATGAGTGATCGCATGATACTGTTTTTGGTGATCACTCAAACATCAAAATTTTACACATAAAACAATCAATGTATTTATCTCAGATTACCCTTTGCTTTTCTGCCTCTATCCGTTCGTCTTCCATCTTCAATTCCCTGGGGAAGTCAGGAAAAAATAACAATACAAAATCAGAAAATGATGCATTACTTATTGATCTTGCAACATTGTAACAAAGTCTCTCGAAATACAAGGCCTTAGAAACCGAATAATAAGAGCATACATAAGTGAATGAAAGTTCCGAAGTTGAGGCCACTTACTTGAGCAGAAGTGGAGTCATAAGCTGAGCCTTTCCCGTAGGCAAAAGGAAGTTTCTGAAAAATCCAGCTTTCACATCAAGTAATTGCCCTTGCTTACCCAAATCCGTCACATCCTCTTTCAAGATTACCTTAAAGAAACAAAACAAGATTACCATTTGCATTTCATTTACTCCATTTCAATACACAGAAACAAAACTTCAAACCAGAAAATCAAGAACCAAAACACAAGTAATCAACCACATTTTCTTTATTTCTTGAAACTAAACTGGTAATACAAAGAAGTTAAAACAGAGCTCACTGATACAAGAACAAAGTCGACATTTTTGCACTAAACCCATAAATTAAGCATCTTTAAGTTTTTGCTTTCATCTCCACCAAAATTCTCCCAAAAAACGAACTCAAATAAAAAACTAACTAAAACCCAAATCAAATCCTTGAAGATAGCCCATGAAAGGTAATGACTTTACCTTTCGAAGTTTCTTAGCTTTCTTCTGGGAAACAACTTCAAAATTGAACCTTCGCTCAGATACTTTTAGGGTTTCATTTGCACCGCTATTGAAGCTGTGTGACCAACAAGGAGAGGAGCTCCATGAGAGAGACAAAGCTGTAGAAGAAGCCATAGCCAAAGCTGATTTCAGTTCAAAGCAGAGATAAGAGCGCACAGTTTTAGTGTTGTTATCTTCTTATCGGCGTAACAAGAGTGACGAATGTTTTTCTTATGTTTCGAATTTGACCCCGTAATTATTCTACTTTTCTGTTTTCTTCTTAAATGTTTCTTAAAGTTCAATTGAGTACCCAACATTTAACAGTTGAATCGTTTTATCTAATTTGGGTATGAAAGGCAAATGTTGAATAGTTTTTCCTAATTTGGGTATGAAAGACGCGTTGCATTTTGTTCGGGTTGATTTTGGCCGTTTTCATTTTCATTTTCGAAATGTAGTACAGGATAAGGTTACTTACTAATACAAGTGTGTAAACTGCTAGAAGTTTCTCTGGATTTTGATATACAATGTTTGTATAATGATTGTACATATACACAACATATAACCTACTCGATTTCAGAATGGACATAATCTCTAAACACAAAGTTCTTCTCTTGTTCATGTAAAGCATATGCGGAAGCAGCTGATATCAGTGATAAACTCGCCAGAACCAGTCGAATCTGGACATCAGAAGGAACACCAGCTGTGGCGGCCCAGAAAACCGTCGCGCCAACGAGAAACTTCTTGAGGATTTGGAAACTGTTGTAAGCTCCTTTGCAGGAGGAACATACTTGTGTATGCTGATCAAATCTATCTAGCATCTGTTTGTTAAATTTACCACGTTTTCAGACACATGTGTTTGGATATATATAGAAATCATATGATGCGTGATTGAATGGCTCACCTGACGCTTGGTTAAGACGGTGGAAGGGAGTGGTTGGTTAGATGTGGTGGAGCCAAACCATTCAGGCTGACTCTTGCCATGCCGTCTGAGCCAGTTTCTGAAAGCTAGAACGAAACGATCTGCTTGGGTTGGAGTGAATGTAAGCTTTGTGTACTGTTTGTTCACGTCATAGTCCGGTGACTCCATTGATTTAGAGAGGAATACTTTCTCTTGTCCCTGAAGTACTATCATGTCTCCGTCATAGACTAAGTTCGACGTCCAGTGTTCATACCATCTCGGTACAACCTAACAAGGAACAATCAGAAGACTTATGCAGGCAAATCAGATTAAGAGATGGAATCAAAAGTTTGTTTTTACCTGCCACCAAGCGGGTCCTGGTACAGAGAATTGGAAGAAGTTACGGGCGCTGCAAACAATGGAACGGGTCTTTCCTGGAGCCATTGGTATGTTAAATGAGCAAATCCAAATTACCCATTTTTGATTACCGAAGATTGGTAGCTTCGCATCGATCTCAATTCTGTAGACAACCATAAAAATCCCATTAAGTATGAAGCTGTATCCTAAGTCCTAACCATGTATTATCTATTGTGAGGAAACTGAAGACTCACTTGTTCAAAGAATAGCACGGAGCAACAAACTTTGCGGTTATCTTTGGATTGTCATCATTCGCACCTTGGAAACCCCAATGCCCACTTGACTCTACCTTGAACGGCAATGGTTTGGCTCTGTCTCTTCTTCCTGTAACCTGTTAACAACACGAAATCATCACCTAAGAATATTTTTCCTTAGCTAAAATGTAAACGCATTGGAGGCTTTGAGAGAGAAAAACACCTTGTGATGAGCAAAATCTATATGGGAAGGATCAGATACATTTTCCATGAGAGTATCATATCCATAGAAAAGATCCCTCTGAATTGTCACCGTCGAAAATTCCGGTTTATCAAAATCATCTGGCAACCTAAATTGTTAAAGATCAACGCATTTAATAAAACGAGTATGCTATGTTCATGAAAGCCAGAGAAGATAAATCGTTTCACTCGTTACCTAGGCGGTTCAATTGAATTTGCTCTATCCCAACCATTTTCATCAGGCCACACAAAGAGAAGACCTTGAGACACCATTGTCGGAAACTTAATAGCGCAAGCTCTCGGGGATTTAACAGCACGAGCTTCAGGACCTGAAGTAGCAGCCTGTGGAATCCTAGTGCAAGATCCACACCCACTAAATGACCATCCATGATACGAACATTGCAAGTGTCCATTCTCATCCAACCTTCCTTCCTAAATAACCACAAATCATCAACACATACACAAACACATCCATAAATTAAAGCTCAAAACTTTGGTTACATAACATAACATCACAATAAACAACACAAAACTGTTCTGATTCTGATCCTAATATTATATTCATTGAACCTGTGACCTAATTGATATACTTATAAAAATCAAAACTTTACACTAATAAACTATTCTTCTAATCCAAATCACAATAACTAATTAAACTATTTATTCCAAGAGAGAGATTACAGATAAAGGAGCGAGCCGGTGAGGGCAAAGATCATCAAAGGCGGCCCATTTCTGATCATTCCGATCAAACCAGAGGACAAGGTCTCGACCCAAGAGCTGAAACCGGGTTGGTACGTTCGGATCCAAGTCCTCTACCAAAGAAACTGGATACCAATGATCTCTCCACTTAAACTCAGACTCTTCTTCTTCCTTATCTCCGCCGAACTCTTCTTCTATCCGCTTCTCCTCCGCCGGATCCGAAGTGGGTATAGACGGTGGCGCCGCCACGCGTAAAGGGTTGTTGAAAAGTTTCGATCTTGATGGAGAAATTGAGACTTTGAATGGGAATTTTGTGGTGGGAGATAAAAAGGGAATCTTTTTGGATTGGGATTTTGTGATTGTTGCAGAAGTAGAAGAGAGTAAAACTACTGACATTTTCTGATTTGGTTATGTGGATTTTGATGTTATTTACTCTTTTTTTGATGAATCTATTTGAAGCTACGAGAAGAAGGAAGAAGAAGAAGAGATTGCGTGCAAGTATGCAATTTTTCCGTGGACATTGATATTTGATACCATTTGTTGTCTTTTAACGAGAAACTGTGAACAAATGGATTTAACACGTGGTGGATTTGGCACATTGCAAATATGAACGTTGTTCATCGATGGCACATAGATTTTTAATTTTTTGGCACATAGACTTCGGTTCGAAGAGCACACAAATCCGTTTGCGGTTCGGACGCTTTTTATTTACCATTCCTAAACTATAATTCATAGTACTGCAGATTCACAAAAATAGAATAAATCTGCGACGGACTAACTACGGACTGTTTTTATGTATAAATAAATTTAGTAGATGGCGATTTGTTGCTCGCTCCAAAAATAGGATGGTCTAGTCCGCTAACGGTTTAGTCTGTTTTGCTCACAATATCCATTCAAAGCCTTTGCTTGCAATCATAAATGTGTTTTTCAGTATTTGGATTTGTGTTATGGGGTAATTTTTAGAATGTTACGCATTTGAACATTAATGTGAAATGGGTATTTCTCATTAAAAAAAAAAATTGTTATATCAACGTAACGTAAAAGAAGTGAGATCTTCTTGTAATTTGGAGTAAATGAGGGAAATGTTTTGTCATTTGTGGTTGAAGAAAAAATCAAGAAGACATTTTAAAGTAATATGTGTAGCATGTTGTGATACACATAAACGAAAGAGACTACAATTTAAAATAACAAGAACACAACACATACACATACCCACATATCATTGTAATCACATTATTAAAGTCTCAGATTTATTTCAAATCACAGATCTACGTTGACCAGTGACCATGGAAATCAGTTTCTTCGAAGCACAATGAGGTATTGCATTCCGGGTTTGGCTTTGGCTAATTGAGGAAGCATTTCTTGCGTCTTCTCTTTCACAAGCTCATAGGTTTTCTCCATCGCATCTTGCCCAAATAGTGAAGCTACAGATCCTCCAACCGTGACCTTAAACGAGACCGTCAAAAACTCGGGGTCTAACGGATACTCCCCCTTCGCGTGGCTAATTTTTTCGAATACCTCAATCGTGAAACACCCGTTATCCTCGATGATTTGCTTCAATTCATCCGCTTGTGGAGCGTAGATAGGCAATTTAAAAGTGTCAAGCTTTTGTTGATCTATTAGACCCTTTTGAGAAAGAAAGAAAAAAGAGAGGCAAAAACAGAACATGTTAGCATCAATTCGTACTAATATTATAGACAAGTTATTAATGTTGAGGAGTTTTGAATTTTACCTGGTTAGCAATTTCATTAAGAGAAGCTCCAATGAAATCAATCATCATTCCTTCAACTGTTTCAAACATTTGAACTCCATTTGGACGACATGATCCAAGAAGCAATAGTAATCCACCGGACACGAGCTCTTGAGCTCTCGCGTTCAAGAAACTCCCCACATCGATCTTGTATTGATCGAGAAACAATTTCGTAACTTCTTTTGAAGATCCAGAGCAATGTATGTCCTGGTTCCAAACAGGCGAATCACGGTCTTTGACTTCTTTGGGAATCTTGGATACGAAATGGAGTGAGTAAGAAGAAACTCCCACATGGAGACTATTTCTAGGAAGAACACGACCAAAGAACGAAGCCGGAACTCCGGTTGCGAAATATCTTCTAGCCGGAGGAAGTGTCTTGAACAGAGTGTTGAAATCGTTGTTGGAAGAATCATTGAAGAAAACTTGGAACTCGATCTCTTCCAGATCACCTTCTTGCTTATACTTGTTTTCCACAGCATCAATTATGGTTTGTACCGCTGTGAAAGTGTTTGGTCCAGAGGAACAACCAAAATCTGCTATGTTAACAAGATTTGAAGTAAAGTCGATATCGAGTTTCGTGGAAATGGCTTCATTGATCTTTTCCTTTGCAGCTATAACCAAGGCTCCCTATGGACCACAAGTGATTTTTAACACACAAAAAAATTATTACATGATTTTATGATGATAATTAGTAGAAACGAAATCATATAGTAATTAAACCTGGTATTTTGAATGTTCTTGGTAACTGTTGCGACCTTCACCGCCGATCATTGTGAAAGAAGTCGACATGTCTCTCTTCTATCTCTTGTCTTGTAATAATTCCTTTCTGTTTGTGTTTGGTTGTGATGAGTGTTTTGGTTGCAAGACTATGTGCCTATTTATTATATCCATCGGTCAGCCTGACTTTGGGATATAGCCAAATAGACTAATCAATAAACTTATTGGCCACGTTTTATTAACCAATACCCTTATAAATAATATTTAAACATTTTGGAGGCAGGCTATTGGTGTTGACTTGTCTTCCAACATTTGCATCCAAAAACTATTATATATTCATTAGTTTAGAAATGACTAACATTTGCACAAAAAAAAAAAGAAATGACTAACATGCGTGTGGAAAGGATTATAGTAATAAGATAATATATGTCACAAGCTTTATGTTTACTAGTCAAGAGGTCAGGTCAATGTGATTAAACAACAAATGTTCTTTCTATAGGTGTCAATGCTCCACTCCCCAATTTATTGGCCGGAAGTGATCCATTATTTTCAAAGTTTAGAAATGACTAAACATGTTTTTGAAAAGGACTAGATTAATAAAAGAATATGTGTCGCTAATTATTGACGTAAACACACCTCTTCTTTATGTTTACGAGTCAATGCGAAATTTCAGCTGCAAAGATTTGACTATTGGGACTATGTTGAATAATTTTTTTATTGTTTCTATATTTTCGTAGAAACTACTCTTCTATATCCATCATGAAACACACATAAGTAACGAGTTTTTTTTTTTTTTTGATAAAGAACACATAAGTAATGAGTTACTTAAATATAACGGTCATTCTCGTTCACGAGCTAATACAAGACCACGAAAAGTTTAGTGTAATCAATACTTCAAATCCCTAGCAATCTATTAAAAGTTTACCATGCTACCAAATTTTGTTTTTCATTTTCCATCAATTTTAACTCTCTAAACACTACGAAGATCAACAATCCGAAGGTGAAAATGATGTCGAAAATTACATATTAGTTTGAACAATCATAACGATCCCAACAACAACATGTGTTGAGAAAAACATGAGGTCGGAGTTTGAGTTGAAAAATGTCGTTTTCCCTCACGTTCTATAACACCTTATTCTACAACTGTTTACTCTAATTTAAAATCAAATAGAATGATCATCTCTGTTTTCTAAAGATTAACTTATCATTCTTTCTAGATAAGTTTTTTTTTCTTTATATTTGTGTTTTTCTCTTTCTCAGTTTCTTTATATTTTCAAATCTATTGAGGATATAACCGGTTCAATGTTATTGGTTAACTTTGGTTTACTAAGCTGAGATTAATACTCGGTTTAATGTTATGTATATAAGCTTAATCACTCTCATTTTGATGATTAAGTTGTTGTAACAAACCTTTGAATGATTAAGAAAAGTTTGTTATCTTCTTCAATTCTCTCTCACTTTCCGATCTAGTTTCTCCGATGTATCGGACTTTATTATGGTATCAGAGCACAAAATGAAGATTCCGCATTCGTTGTGTTCATCGGAAGTGAGCTGTGATTTCTCTTCTTCGTTTTCTTGTTGATTCTTTTGATTTCGTTTCTTCGCGATTTGCGATTCTCTTTTCCGGTCACCGGAATCTTATTTTTCCGTTCTGTTTCTTTCTTTTTCCTTTCATTGACCTATAGCGACGACGATTCTCTTTCTTTTACAACAAATTCGTCTCGTTTTCTTTGAAATTTCTTGTTCTTACACTGAGAATGGGATCTTTTGTACCTCCACCTGTGATTCCGGTGCCTCGTCCTCCGTCAAGTGTTGATCATTATGAGAATCCGTATTATCTTCATAGTACGGATCATGCTGGTCTTATTTTGGTTTCGGATCGACTTACGACTGCTTCTGATTTCCATTCTTGGCGTCGATCGATCTTAATGGCTTTGAATGTCAGGAACAAATTGGGATTTATCAATGGTACGATTTCTAAACCACCTGAAGATCATAGAGATTTTGGTGCTTGGTCTAGGTGTAATGATATAGTCAGTACCTGGTTAATGAATTCAGTTGATAAAAAGATAGGACAGAGTTTACTCTTCATAGCTACTGCTCAAGGTATATGGAATAATTTGCTGTCAAGGTTTAAGCAAGATGATGCTCCAAGAATCTTTGATATAGAGCAGAAATTAAGTAAGATAGAGCAGGGTTCAATGGATGTTTCTACATATTATACTGCTTTGCTTACTCTGTGGGAAGAACACAGAAACTATGTTGAGCTCCCAGTTTGTACCTGTGGTCGATGTGAATGTGATGCTGCAGTGAAATGGGAAAGTTTACAACAGAAGAGTAGGGTGACAAAATTTCTTATGGGATTGAATGAAGGTTTTGATCAGACTAGACGTCACATCTTGATGCTTAAGCCTATTCCAACAATAGAAGAAGCTTTCAATATTGTAACTCAAGATGAACGACAGAAGAATGTTAAACCTCCTACTCGTATAGACAATGTGGCTTTCCAGAATAGTACTCAAATGATATCAGAAGGTGATAATGCATATGTTGCAGCATATAACACAGTAAGACCGTCTCAGAAGCCTATGTGTACTCACTGTGGGAAAGTGGGACACACAATTCAGAAATGCTATAAGTTGCATGGTTATCCACCAGGAATGAAGATTGGTAATGGAAATTATCAGTACAAGACTAATCCGCAGTTGCTTGTTCAACCAAGAATGCCAATGATGCAGGCTCCAAGGATGCAGTATCCAGCTCAAATGCCAATGATGCCATATGCTAATTCAATGCAGAAAGCAAATGCAGTGGCACATGTATATGCAGAGTCAGGAGCTTATCCATCAGAAGCATACAATCAGGCATCAATGGTTAATCCATATAGTACTTATGGTTCCTATACAATGCCTCATGTTACACAAGGTGGAAACAATCTGAATTTACAAGATTTTACTCCTCAGCAAATCGAACAGATGATTTCTCAATTCCAGGCTCAAGTTCAAGTTCCAGAGCCTGTAGCTTCTTCAAGTAATCCTAGTCCTTTGGCTATGGCAACAGTCTCTGAACATGGTCTAATGGCAGAAACTTCAACTTCTGGTACTATAATCCCTTTTCCTTCTACTAGTTTAAAATTTGAAAACAATCATCTTACTTTCCAAAATCATATTCTATCCTCTTTACAAAAATTCATACCACATGATGCTTGGATTATAGATAGTGGAGCTTCTAGTCATGTATGTTCAGACTTAGCAATGTTTAGGGAATTAAGGCCTGTTTCTGGTGTGACTGTAACTTTGCCAAATGGTACTAGGGTTTCTATTACTCATATAGGTACTATTCATATTACTCATAAACTCATACTGCATAATGTTTTGCATGTTCCAGATTTCAAGTTTAATTTGATCAGTGTTAGTTCTTTGGTAAAAACTTTATCATGTTCAGCTCATTTCTATGTTAATTGTTGCTTTATCCAGGAACTTTCTCAGGGCTTGATGATTGGGAGGGGTAGACTTTATCACAATCTTTACATTCTTGAGACAGAAACTACTTCCCTCTCCACATCAACACCTGCAGCTTGTTCTTTCTCTGGATCAGTTCTTGATGATGGACTTCTTTGGCACCAGCGTTTAGGTCATCCATCATCTATAGTTTTAAAGAAACTTGTTAGTATCATTCCCTCTTTAAAGTCTTTTGATTCTGAAACTTCACCATGTTGCATTTGTCCTTTAGCAAAACAGAAACGTCTAGCATACATATCTCATAACAATTTAGCTTCAAACCCATTTGATCTTGTTCACTTGGATATATGGGGTCCTTTTAGTGTTGAATCTATAGAAGGATTTAGATATTTTCTTACTTTGGTTGATGATTGTACAAGAACTACTTGGGTTTATATGTTAAGAAATAAACAAGAAGTTTCAAAAGTCTTTCCTGTTTTTGTTAAACTTGTTTCTACACAATTTAATACAAAGATTAAAGCTATTCGTTCTGATAATGCTCCTGAATTAGGATTTAATGATTTAGTAAAAGAACAAGGAATGATTCATTACTTCTCTTGTGCTTATACTCCCCAACAAAACTCTGTTGTGGAGAGAAAGCATCAACATCTTCTTAATGTTGCAAGAGCTTTACTTTTTCAGTCAAATGTTCCTATGCAATATTGGAGTGATTGTGTTTTAACTGCAGTTTTCTTGATAAATAGATTACCATCACCTCTGTTAAATAACAAATCACCATTTGAACTTTTGCTTAAAAAGAATCCGGATTATACTTTGTTAAAGAACTTTGGATGTCTTTGTTTTGTTTCTACTAATATGCATGAAAGAAATAAGTTTTCACCGCGTGCTAGACCCTGTGTTTTCTTAGGCTATCCTTCTGGATATAAGGGATATAAGGTTTTAGATTTAGACTCACATGCTATTTCTATTTCACGAAATGTTGTTTTTAAAGAAAGTATTTTCCCTTTCAAAACAAGTGATTTGTTGTCTAAATCTGTTGACATGTTCCCTAATACAATTTTGCCTTTACCAGCACCTTTACACTTTGTAGAAACAATGCCATTGACTGATGAGGATTCTTTGGTTCCTACTACTACTAATAATAATACTAGTAATGCATCATCATCAGCATCTGCATTACCTAGTACCATACTTCCTACTAGTACTGCAGAAACACAGGATTTAGGCCTTAATACTGTACCTATTGCTAGGCCTAAACGTAACACTAAAGCTCCTGCTTATCTCTCTGAGTATCATTGTGCCCTTGTTCCTTTCATTTCTTCACTACCACCTACAAACAATACTCCACCATCCTGTTCTCTTATTTCTCCTATCCCTACAGAAAATCATAATCCATCACCTAAAAAGACTACACCATATCCCATCTCTTCTGTTATCTCCTATGATAAATACACACCTCTTTTTCAATCCTATATACTAGCCTATAATACAGAAACAGAGCCTAAGACCTTTGCTCAAGCTATGAAATCTGAAAAATGGACTAAGGCTGCTGATGAAGAGTTACAGGCTATGGAACTTAACAAGACTTGGGTTGTTGAATCATTGCCTCCGGGTAAGAATGTGGTAGGATGTAAATGGGTCTTTACTATCAAATACAAC